TGGCCAGAGGATGCCAGAGGATGCCAGAGGCAAGAGAGGATGCCAGAGGATGTGAAGAGCCAAAAATCCCGGAAGCACATGAGGGACCCACTAGTCACCTCTGAGGGTCGAGAATGGCTGAGTATGATATCTGTTGAGGAGAGTAGGGATGGGCCCAACGCATGGAACTGACTCTATCAACATATTGATGCTAAGGGGTCGCCCAGCTAGGGACAGCGTCGTTAAACAAGTACCCCTAGTTGGCCTCTCATCCCAGTCCATGCTTTGAACAAGCAGGTCTATTTTGCACACACATTTCCCTACTTTGTGGCCTTTCCTCAACATCAAAGACTCCATGCCCATTTGGTCCCATCTATCCCTGTGAAGGAAGAATCTGAGGAAAAAAGATAAACATCTGATACAAAACATCCCACTCTTCCCGTTCCAAGTGCTGGAATTCAAGTTTGGCAGGGGAAAATACGTGCCACCGCCCGGGGCCTGAATTGCATCCTCATCCGAGAGATCCTCTCCTGAGCCCAGCGGAGAAATTGGAACGACACATGTCTCAAAGTCTTGAAGTGATCAGGTGATCTCAGGATTTGGGCGGCTTAACCCGAGCCAGGTTGTCGTCCTAAAACACAACCAATGTCAGGTGATCTCAGGATTTGTTTGGGAAAAAACATATATGGACCTGCTTGCAAAAAGATTCATTTGGGTGACTGCTTCTTTTGCAGGTGTGTGGTCAGGATCTTGTCTGGAACACGGGAGCTTGGTGTTGAGATGAATTTCTTTGAGGCGTCAAAGGTGTAAGACTTGGACACCTGGTTCTCCAGCTCTGAAACCGCGAATCTGCTCACCGGACAAGGTCGCAAAAATGACGGGCTGTGACCCAACAGTTTTTTTTAAAGTTTCTTCTTTGAGATGATGCCATGTTCCCCACTCGTTGCAGAAAACGAAAAAGCTTCCTTTTCTTGACATCCGAAGGGCCGGGCTCACACATGGTAGGAGGGTCAAAAGGGGCGTTTTCGTTGCAAGGACATCAAATAAGCTTATATGTATACTGTATACTATCAAGATTCCTGGCTCCACCCCAGTACCATAGAATGATGGATCATTAAACCAATCGCAAGTAGCAACATCTTCATCCCCACCGGAGCTTCAAGAAAGCATATTTAAAAAAATATTAGTATACTAGTATTATGTTGGGCGATGGCAGCCATACATGGCCAACCATCAAATAATTGTTTTTGTGAAAAAAGTGAAAAAAGCAGCAAAATAAAAGCAAAAGAAAATGCAAAAACAAAGCAAAAACAAAGCAAAAAGCAAAAACAAAGCAAAACAAAAAGCGAAAAAAAAGCGAAAAAAAGCGAAAATAAAGCGAAAAAAAAGCGAAAAAAAAAAGTGAAAAAAAGCGGCAAATATGTTTTTGCTGTACCCTCCTAGGAAAAAAGCGAAAAAATGCGAAAAAATGCGAAAAAAAGCGAAAATAAAGCGAAAAAAATGCGAAAATAAAGCGAAACAAAAGTGAAAAAAAGCGACAAATACGCACAGCTACATTTTTTTGCTTTTTTGTTTGCTTTGCCTTTTGCTTTTTTTTGCTTTGTTTTTGCTTTATAAAACTATTTCGGGGAATTTCCCTGAACATTTTAAGTGCTTCCAGTCCGAGATCGTTGGCACGGCTGAGATTCAGCCAGATTTCCATGGCTGAAGCACTAAAGCGTGCATGTTTGAACCAAGGAGTTCATCTCCAGGAATCGCGAAAGGAAAAAAAACAATAAAACTATTTTGGCTCCTTGTATCTATGGCTGGCGTGCCCGACATAATACTAGTATACATACTATATAGTATAATTACTATAAGCAGTACCACTTCAGCCACCTCTTTTCACCAGTTCCACGGCATCCGTTCTCCAAGATCCCGGGCCTTCCCTGGCGCGACCGCGGGCGCAACAAAGCGAAGCGTTGGCGTGACTCTTGCGGCGAGGTCCTACGAGGTCCATTTGGTCCTCACGGAGGGGGATGGCAAGGATCACCATTAAAAAAAAAAACGATTTCGGTGGAATCCCACGCAATGCCATGCAAGAAGTGTTCAGGAAAGCAACCACAAAAGAAACGTGACTAACGTTGCATGTGAACAAAGAAAAAAACACTCTTGAATATCCAGATAAACACCTGCCTATTGATCCGTGATACTAGTGATGGAGGCCGCATGTGGTGGACTCATCACCCCAACTTCCATATCTCCGATAACTGAAAAGCCGTGAGTTTGTCCTTGCACATCAGCAAACCACTCGGACCCTACCTACCTTCTGGCAAACTTAAGGAACGCTGTCGACTGTGCAACGTTGGTGTGTTCCGCAGGTTTCACATGGTGTCACATGGTTTCACATGGTTTCGCACATGGTGTCGCACGTGGTGTCGCACATGGTTTCACGGCATTTCACCTATCGCTGCTGTGTTGTGTTTCAGCAAACCATTGGAATGCGAGTGTAAAGAATACTTCCAACTGAACTCGTCCTGCGTCTTCTTTTGTGCTGCAAAGAAGTAGGAAAAAAATCTTCGTGACCCGGAGGGGGCAGAAGGCTTCAGTACTTTCTTCGGGGTCGTGCTCCTCACAGGGAGCCCCGCAAGCCGGTCTTCAGAGACCACCCCATGGCCCAAGAGCTGGTAAGGAGGGAGTGTTTCTTTCACATGGTCACATGGTCCGAACATGGGTCAGAATTCCCTGTGCAGGCAGCGAATGTGTTGCCCCTAGCTGTGCCCCTAGCAAGCAAGCTACTCAAGGGGATTGGCACACATGCACAAGCACACGCCCCAGTACGACACCAAGCGAGCACCCAGCTCCGTGAGTCATTCCCTTCCAGGAGTCACACACGACTGGGTGCCGAACTTGGAGGACAGGGGTGCCCAGAACATCCACTCTCTGGATGGGACTACAGCTTGCTAGCTTCTGATTGTGCCAAAAAGCTTCCCAAAACAAGCCTTCAAAATCTCTTGGTGTTTTGGCTTTGTGAGCATCCACTGAAAGTATCGTGGTGCAGGGAGGAAAATTGTCTTGGTCCTTTCTATTCCTGGATCTTCTTTGGCTGTCGATCAGCCATGGCTGTCGATCAGCATGTAGATCACTACAGACTGTTCACCGTCAACATCACCGTCAACCAAGGCAACCCAACGCGACAACGCCGCCGACCAGTTGGCGACATCTCGCCGGGCTGACGCTGTCTTTGACATGGAAGCAGAGGTGTCCGAAAACACCAACCTGCCACGGCCCGTGAGGAAGTGTTAGCAAGAACTCTGTGTATGAAGTTGGACATCGTGTGACATCGCCTAGGCATTGGGTGGCAACCTCATCACCCCAAGGAAACCAAGGAAACTTATTTCCCCTGCACCAGGTGCGTGTTTCCATGTCCATGTCATTGAAAACATGTGAAGAAACGGTCTTTTCATGTCTTTTCCATGGGGTTCCACATGATGGTAGCCTCTGATATATGCTTCATTTCCGATCCGCTTCCGAAATCCGGCATCTCTCTCCTCCCAGAGATGATCTGAGTGTGTGTTTCGTCCAGGGACACCAAAACCCTCCAAGGGGCACAGAGCCCACCTGGGACCTAGGGCAGTTGGTGAATGTTTGATGCCGGAGGCCACTGGCGCCACTGGCGCATATCCGTGGCTCAACTCACTTGGCCTACCAGTTCCATCTTCCTCGGCTCCTTGGACCCCCTTCCCCCGGCCTCGGTGGTCTAGGAATCAGGCAGGAACCTGCGGCAGGATTGGGCAGCCATCTGGATCCAGTCGGATCCAAGACCCAACGACAAAGGAATGAGTCCAGCCAGAAAAACCTTGCACGAAGAGCTAACAAAACAGGGTATGGTAGATGTAGGATTATGTATCTGTATATAAATGTAATAGGTATATATGCTGATCATTTCTGGCTTCAGTCGGCCACGACCGGCTCCCTCAGATGTTTCTCTGAAGACTTTGGAAGTGTGTTCTACCCGGATACCTCGTATCCCAGATGCGATCTCTGCATCAAAGACCCCTTCCATGTTTCATGACCACTTCAAACCAAAGTCTAGCCCCCAAAAGACAACAACAGGAGGCCACCTGAAAAATGGCCAGGATCCCTCTGATCCTCCCAAGACTGATCCAAAGGATTTCAGAAGAGAAGAACGAGACCCAAAACATCCGGTTTGAACACATCTTGGATCCATATGTCCCAATCAACTCCCAAGCAAAAGCCCTGTGGGTCATGGTTTTCGGACCCTGGCATCCTTCCATTCCCGGGCCCTCCCTCCCGGGCCTTTCTGCCGATCCTGCCGAGGTCTCGTGACATCCGGTTGACATCGCTGACCAGGGACCCCACCACCCATTGTTGGGAAGCAGAGTCCTGTCTCAATGGAGTGTCTCAAACCATGGTGAAGGACACGTTTCAGACCATGACCGGTGGTGCAACTGCCATGTGCCTGGCATTGCTCACGATGCCCCACGAGGCAACATGCGCGTCGCAAAGTCGGTCTCCCTGACATGGGACCCATGTCATACCCTTCTTCAAACTCTGACCGAGTTCGGGGTACTTCCCCTCAGGGTTGTTCCAGAGTTGGGTGTTCTCCTGAATCAACCAACTTTCTTTAGAAAACGACAAACAAGGGAAAGCTTCTAGGAAGAACCACAGAGGTGGCCGCGAGCCCAGCTTTAAATCAGTCGACTTCCTTGGATGTTCTGCGCGACGGCGTAGTTGGGTTCTCTTGGCGCTGACGGCCCATCTCCCCTTGTGAGGCCCATCTCCAGCAGGCCGCAAGCCTTGGGCCTTTCCACACACCATCACGGTCAAGACTGAAAGGAACCATGCAACAGCCATTTCATCGTTTTGACATGTTTCGATCCTTTCAGGGGGCTTTTGGTTGGCTGGTATTCATTTCATCATTCATCTTGCCCAAAACATCCCAAAACTAGAAATGCACATCAAATCCACCACGGCGATTCCTTTTTCGTGTCCATGAATCTATCTAAATCCACCACGCTTCACATGGTTCGACCCATGACGTGACCACAACCCCAGTGACGGTCACCCGGGGCCCAACGCCCCGGGGAACCCCCGCGCGGGGTGACGTGGCACCTGCGCGAAAACCGAAACCGAAACCCGCGCAGTACATCTCCACAGGTCGTCCAGACCTCTTGCATCTTCATGGCGTGCAATCGGTAGTGTATGTGGCTCTTCTGGCACTTGCAACCACCTGGAGATGAAGAAACTTGACTGGTCAAGGCAGGGTGGGTCATGTTTCTTCCAAAGGACGGATGAAGTATAGAGTCTAGAGGCCCACAAAGAAAGACTGAACGCCTGAAAGATCCTGAAAGTGTATATATTCCAATTGCCTTGGAATGCCTTGGAATCCTCATTGCACCTACTAATCGGTCGCTCTGCTGCAGCGACCGATAAAGCGAACAAGAGCGATGTGGGACCGTGGCGGCGATCGACGGCTACAGCCAGCGAGCCGCTGAGTAAGCAAAGCATGCAAAGCACAGAGGAACGCAGAGCTGCAGAGCGTGGTATAGGAACAAGGTTCGCTACTATATGTGTATGTTCTTTTCCAATGTCTGTGTGTTTAGACGTGTGTTTAGACGTGTGCTTCAAGTAATGTAGGACCGAAGGAGACCGATTAGGGCGGGGCGGGCGCCGTTGTGGTTGACGTTCGTTGTGGGCCATTGAACGGAAGATGATATTGCTTCCTTCACGAGTTTGTTTCAGTACCGGAGGATCTTTTGGGGTGGTGCCTCGTGTATTCTTATATACCCTAGGGCTCCAACTACCACCTGAGGGGGTCAAGGTGGTTGGGGTGGGTGCCAGGGGGGTCTAACCACCTTCCGAGGATATGGTTGGAGCTTCTAGGGATACCTATGCCTTCTCGCTTTGGGTTTCCCATGGTTTCCCCAGTTCAGGCACGTTTGCGGCTTCCGACCCGCCCGGAGGCCAGTTCGGCCTCCACAGAAGCGAACGATGAACTCCACACCACCTGGCCACAGCAGTTGCCCTCCCAACAAACATGGAAGTAAAACAAATAGATCCTGTTTGCAAAGGAGAATGCCCATCAAAGGGGCCATGCCATCCACGTTGGACCATGAGAATTCCACAAGTATATTTGTCGAGTCTGACGCTCAGAAACTGTCATCCCAACCAGCACGTCCAGCAGACCATGGTACACCCCAACCAGGACAGCACGTACAGCAGGCTCTCAGTCAAAGCTCCGGCAACCGGACGGTGGGTCAGGACCGCGGATCAGGACGGAGGTGTGTGCCGATTTCGGATCTGTAGAAAGCAGTGCAATGGAGTGCACCTAGCGCTTCCAATGGATGTTCAATGGTGACCTATAAGCAGTGTAGGGCTGTCCTGTCCGGTATCCCCGAACGGAAGCAGCTGGTATGACTTCTCACTAAAAACAAACATTAAAAACACTATATAGTTAATCACAACGGACTGAGGCCAAAAACATGAAATCCCAACGACTTTAGCATACTTTAGCACCTGGCAGTATCATCAGTACCCCCCCTTTTGAAAAGTGATTAAACATGTCTGCGCTGAACAGGGAAGCGCAGGTCTTTTGGCTTCACGTGCAGCTGGCCACAGTTTGTCCACTCGACCGACAGTTGACTTGACTCGGGTCCTGAGCAAAACGCTAAGCTTTGGGGCAAAAGAGAAACATTTTGAGGTTTCTCTAGCTTGCAAGTGGAGTGATTCCCATATTCTCATTGCCCTCCCGGTCCCCCAAAATATCAACATGCCCCTGAAGAACCTTCACAAATACCCCCACATCATCCCACATCTCTCTCTCTCTCTCTAAACACCCTCAACCTGAAGAAGTGGAAAACCCAGAACCACTAGAGTCATTGAGTCCCAATCCGCCTTGCCATCGTGGGAGTAGGTCACTAGCCTTTGCCTCATGTTCACCTCTTTCCATTCGCACACCCGCAGCTGAGTGAGGCACCCCCAACCCAGACGCTGCCGGGCCCCCACCTACACGAATCCAGTCGCCGCAGCTGAGAGTCACGTTGGAGCCTCCGACCGATCCGCAGATGAAGGCTAAATGGAGGGTGTGTGGAGAAAGGGGGTCAGCAAAAATTGCTTATACGAAGTTAGTGCATCAAAAATACCTTCCACGAAGTTCTGCGAAGGTTTCTGGGATTTCGTTGCAGTCAGTTCTCCTACTGGCCCACCATTCCACGAACTGTCCACGAACAGCCTTGGGTTCTACGAAGGTCACGCGCCTTCCACGACGTTAGTAGAATAGGTTTTTGCAAAACCCTTTCTGTGCACTACCCTTCCGTTTGCCTTTGAGCAGAGGTGACGCCCGACGTTTCTGCCGCTCCCGACGAAGGGCCGCTGCTTTCACTGCCGCGCAGAACAGGCTGGGCCAATTGGGGTCTCCCCCCCAGAAGCCCAGAAGAGCAACGTCAAAAGCCTGTCGTTCGGGTGGGTGGCTGTGTTCAGACTCGCAGAGACTTCGCGGTTTTCGCGGAGACTTCGGAGAGACCTGGGAGGCCCGGGCCAATCTTGACGAAGGTTCCCCACTTGGAGCCCGCGTCCATGATATAGAACTGATCTGTGTCCTCACAGATGGAGACACAACGAAAGTTCTGTTGGAGTGTTTTTCTTCTCGGGGAGTCGGGGGATGAGTATGGATTGCATTGGATTGTGTTGGGAACTTTGGACTGAAAGATATGATAATTTTTTACAAATTGGTTGCTGCCGAGATCTGTCAAAAGAAACAAGATCTGTCCTAAACATGACTCTTCAAACTCTTCTCACTGAAACATCGGGCTCTTCTCCCTGGTTTTTGATGCAAACAATTTGAGTTTGCGGGGTGATTTGGACCAAAAGACTAAGTTTGATACCAAACCTTATCCAAACCTCATGCGACTCAGGAGGTTTAGAGGTTTAGAGAGCCTCCAGTGACATCTGTCAGGGGTGAAGCAAGATGTTTGAAGAGGCGGTTGCAAAGACCAGTTCGTTCAGTCTTGGAGCTTGAAGAATCAAAGAGGATCAAAGAAGTACATTTTCCCGCTAGACTTGGGGCTAGAGGGCTCATGAACAATGGTGATTTCGTGCGACTTCTAATGGTGATGGAATGAACAAGAAAAGATGGTTTCGTTTGTTTCGAACTTGGAGTTGGCAGGTGTGGTGAGAGGTACATTCTAAAGAAAGAACATCTTCTTTCGCTCCCTTTCAAACATGCCCAACAGTTCCATTGAAAGACTTCGTTCCCCTATGGACGCTCCAGCTTCGCCCTGCCGCAACTAGAGGGTTTCTCTTGGAACAAGAACCCAACAAAAAACCACATCCTTCAGGTTTCCTCCCCACCCTCTCCTGATCGTGGATCACATTGAAATGTGATCTTGATGCAATCGGCTCCGACATCGGACAGTCGGGGACCAAGGTCCTACCACCGCGCCGCGGGGAGCTGCGCTCGCTTCACTCGCTTCACTCGCCCTTGAGGGGGTCCGTGAGGAACACTCTCATCACTCTCTTTTGGGCTCACACATGCCAAGAAAAACACCATCATAGTAGACATACGGTATAGACATGTATAGACCAAAAGCCATCACCCATCAACCGAAACATCCTTCATGATACCAGTAAGTGATAACTCTTGATGTCTGATTGAAAAACATATATGATTTCCTCCAGTTATTTGATCCCTGCCTTGGTGCAACAAAAAAATGAAACCTTTCGACCCACAGACTAATTTGGCCTTTTCTGCTCAGAGTCTGCTCTGCATTGACCGACACGCGATGCCAAAAACGCATGATTCTCTCACAATCTGTCACAGCCCACGGCGCCGCCCACGTCTCCCGACCTCTTTGAGGAATTCCGCCCGAACTTCGTCACGCCGCTAAAGCGGCTGCCTGGGACGGGGCCATGAGCGAGCAGCGAGGGGCGGGCGTTTCGTGAGGGGCGGGCACCTCCGGCGTTTCGCGAGGATCCGCCCTCGGCATGACCTCCAGGAGATCCCAAGGGCCTTATCAAATTATACCAATTAGCCAGCACCATGGAAAGATTACCGTATTGGATGGAAAATACATGAAAATCTGTGCAAATTAAAATGATTCTTACATCCTTTCCCTCGCTTTGGAATTCGCATCCCGGGGTTTAGCACCTCGCCTCGTTATATACGGTTTTGAAAATATTGCCTTGCCTCGTTAGTACTACCTCGTGCAGCAACTTAATTCTGAGGGGCTTAGGTGATGACGGGCGGGTAGTAGTAGTAGTAGTAGTAGTCGTAGTGGTAGTCGTAGTCGTAGTCGTAGTCGTAGTCGTAGTCGTAGTAGTAGTAGTAGTAGTAGTCGTAGTAGTAGTAGTAGTAGTGGTGCTGGCCGTCCCCTTTTTAAGCATCCGAACTCCGTGGTGCTGGAGGTCTTGACCTCTTCCCTTCCTACCCCTTCATCCGTCCATCGTCTTCTCGTCTTCTCCAGGTTACCATTGGCGGCCACGACCAGTGCTGGCAGCGCAGAGAAATCCACCGCAGCCTGCGTCAAAAGGCAGAGACTGAGACCGAACCAACCCACGCAACCCAAACCGTTTTGGCCCAGGCCCGGTCGGAAGTCGGGGTGGTTCATGGACACCCCAAACCGAGGGCCCTGGAACATGACACCTGTTTAAAATTCATAGCGATCGGCGGTGTTCTGTGTGGTTGGAGTGTGTGTGTGTGTAACCTTTGGAATCCGAGGAACCTGTTGGTTTCGAGCAGGGGGCCAAGGCGTGATATCACCAACGAAGCTGGCTGATATCGCGGGATATGGGACTTGGCCAGTCCCATGTACCTGCTCTAATCTAGCGGTAACAGGAGGAAGGGTTCGTCGGCAGACTTGTCTGTCGGTTCCCTTCCTTCTTTTACCCTACTTCTACTTACTTGTAAACTGGCAATGCTGGCCTCCAACCTGGCGCCATGGCCTCTAACGGACTAATGATGACCTCCAACCTTGTTGCTTGATGCGTTTTGAGTTTGTGTCTTGTAAACTTGTAGCGCTGGCCCCCAACCTGGCGCTATGGCCTCCAACCCATTAGCGATGACCTCCAACCTTGTTGCTTGGTGTAGCTTTATGTTTGTGCGCATAACCGACTAGCGATGGCCTCCAAACTTGGGCAATGGCCTCCAACTTTCTAGCGGTTGCCCACCTTTGCCGTTTAATTGAGCAATTCGTTGGCCTAGGTTGGCGTGTGGCAAACCGCGTCAGTGTCCGTATACCATATCTTAAGTGTGTCTGGCTTCACGCCACCCCAGGGTGAGCCCGAAGAGTGCACCCTGTGGACCCGTCGAACGGGGGTTTGTCAAACGCATCCCCTGCCCGGATACAGAGCAGTCCGCAGCGGACGGAGCAGGCGGACGCCAAAGTTATTTGCCAAGACTTGCTGAAGTATTGAGAACAAGAAGGCAGTCCTCGGACCAGCCATGAGGTGACCATAGCGGTCTGAGCAGCCAGCCATTTTGGAACGGCGTACGTGGCCGTAGCGGCCGAAGCTATTTTAATTGGGACCTGTCGGGGCCTTAATCCTTTCCTCCCCTTTCCCTCCCCGCTCTTCCTTCTTTGCCTTTTGGGGTGTTCATGCAACACTCAGGCGCACCCCTCTCCCTGGTGTGTCCCTGGACGCTTGTTTCGTAGCTGAGAACACCTGTCCCCTTCCCCTTCTCTTTCTCTTCATCTTTCTCTTCCACGTTATCTTTCTCTTTCTCTTTCTCTTTTTCTCTGTTTCTCTTTATTTTTTCTCTCTTTCTCTCTTGCTCTTTTTCTCTTTCTCTGTCTTTCTTTCGTCTTTCTTTCTGTCCTTCTTTCTGTCTTTCTTTCGTTCTTTCTTTATTACTTTCTTTCTGTCTGTCTGTCTGTCTTTCTTTCCTTCCTTCCTTTCTTTTCTTTCTTCCTTGCTTTCTTTCTTTCTTTCCTTCCTTCCTTTCTTTCTGTCTCTGTCTCTCTCTTTTTCTCTTTCTTTCCCTCCCCCTTCCTTCTCCCTACCCCTCCCTCCCTCGTGCGCTGCGTGCTTGCAAACAAACGGGGCATTTACAACAGGTTCTTCAATGAGGTTTGGCTGCTCATCAGTTGGTCCCCTTTCATTTGGTTCCCTCTTCACTGCACACCCCCCCGCAGACTTCTTGTCCTTCTTTTCTTTCATGTCCTTTCCGTCTTCATGCCCCGTCATCCTCACCCTTTTCTTCTCTTGCGCGCACATCGGTCCGGCCCTTAGCTTGTGCGCACACACGCACGCGTATTCTACATCAAGCCAGGTTCAGGTGCCCCAGGTTTGTTACAATGAGGTTTGGTTCATTGGCTGTCCCTCTTAACTAGGTTTCGTCTCTTTCATGTTCATTTGTCCTTTTTGCGTGCGCATGCGCTCGCATTACCCCCTTTCCGGGCAGGATGGGGCTCCTTTCCGGGCAGCATGGAGGCCACACATGCCTCCCTTGCGGGAGGTGTGTGTGTGTGTGTGTGTGTGCGTGTGCAAGCCTTGGAATGACAGGGAACCCGTTGGTTTCGAGCAGGGGGTCAAGGCGCGATATCACCAACCTTGACCAACGAAGCTATCGCAGGATATGGGATTTGGCCAGTCCGATGTACCTGCTCTAATCTAGTGGTAACAGGAGGAAGGGTTCGTCGGCAGACTTCCGCGTCCCCTTCTTTTACCCTACTTCTACCTACCTGTAAACTGGTAATGCTGGCCTCCAACCTGGCGCCATGGCCTCTAACGTACTAATGATGACCTCCAACCTTGTTGCTTGATGCGTTTTCAGTTTGCGTGTTGAGTTTGTGTCTTGTAAACTAGTAGCGCTGGCCTCCAACGTGCTAGCGATGACCTCCAACCTTGTTGTTTGATGCTGTTTTCAGTTCGTTTCTTGTAAACTTGTAGCGCTGGCCCCCAACCTGGTGCTATGGCCTCCAGCCCATTAGCGATGACCTCCAACCTTGTTGCTTGGTGTAGCTTTATGTTTGTGCGCATAACCCACTAGCGATGGCCTACAAACTTGGGCGATGGCCTCCAACTTTCTAGCGATCCCACCCTTGCCGTTTTACTCAGGCAATTAGTTTACCTAGGTTGGCGTGTGGCAAACCGCAGTGTCCGTACACCATATCTTAAGTGTGTGTGTGTGTGTCAAAGCCTGTTTCCAAGGCTGCATACAATGTCTAGCATGTAAAACCATTTTAACAGCGCGAGCAAAATTGGCAGGGGACCAGGCAGGACACATCGTCGCCTGGTCAATGAAGCTGGCGATGTATCCGAGGATATGGAAATGGGACGCCATTTCCACGTACCTGCAAACTTTTTAAAAGCTTTGGAAGCCTATTCCGTTTCACCCCAATGTTAAACCATTCAAGTGACGCGGACTCTTTCACCTTTCCGTTTGCAAGTCAAGGTCTACAATGCAGCTGGTATTGTAATCGCTAAAGTTTGACTTCACTCTGTCACTCTGAACTTAGCTCTTGCGAGCAACCATCTAAGTGTGTGTCGGTCGCCACAGAGTCCCACTGAGGGCTGTGGTGTGATCCCCATCGAGGGGCGCAGCATGTGCACAGACCCAGATCCTGGGGGACCCACCCTGATTGCTCCGCCTCTGCACTGGGACTTCGTTCTGCAACCCCCTTGATTGACTGCTTTGCATGATACCACTGATACTATGCCGCAGGGCTTACTGAGATCAAATTCCAGTCAGGATTCCCGCATGCTGCTAAGTATTCAAATGTCCACGTCATGCTGCTAAGTATTCACAGGCCGGAAGAGAGCGAGAAACGAGAGTGAGTTTTTTGGTCCGTTTGGCTGTTCTTTCCTACTGTTGCTTTTCTTTTTCTGGAGGCCTTTCTTTAGGTTTCTTTAGGTGTCAGTCAAAGATGTGCCGAACGCGGTTTTACTTGATGCTGCTAAGTATTCACAGGCCGGAGGAGAGCGAGAACGTGAGTGACACTTTTGGTCCGTTTTGTTTTTCTTTCCTGCTGTTGCTTTTCGTTTTCTTGAGGCCTTTCTCTAGGTTTCTTTAGGCTTCAGTCAAAGGTGCGCCGAATGCGGCTTTACTTGAACGCCAGTGATGGCCATGCCTTCGGGCCACCCCAACCCACCCTCCCCCTACCTCCTTGCCCCTGGCCTTGGTTGCTATCCCACCCGCTATCTAGGGTAACCGAAGGAAATCTCACTCAACACACTTGTGTGTTGGTGCCTTTCCTTCTGTTTCTCCTGTCCTAGTCCTAGCTACCCGGGCGGTCTAAGACTAAAGTCCCGCTCGCTAACTATTGCACTTAATTCGTGTAACTAGAAGGCTTCGTAACTAGTGGGCCTCGTAACTACTCCTATCTTTCTCTCTTGCCCTCTTCGTTTGCTCTTTCTGTCTTTTCTTTCTCTTTCTTTCTGAGGCTTGTTAGGTGGCTAGTACTTTCCTTCCGCGCCGCTATCGGCGTGATGTGTGTGTCACAGCCTGCTTTTAAGGCTGCACACATTTTCAAGTTTTGAAGCCAATTTTAATCGTAGGGGCGGTAACTAGAGGTCCAGTAACTGGGGGGGCCTCGCCACTACCCCTACCTTTCTCTCTTGCCCTCTTCGCTTGCTTTTTCTTTTTCTTTTTCTGTCGTTCGAAGGCTTGTTAGGTGGCTAGTAATTCGTCTGAGCGCCGACATCGGCGTCGTGTGCGTGTCAAAGCCTGTTTCCAAGGCTGCATACAATGTCTAGCATGTAAAGCCAATTTTAACCATGCGAGCAAAATTGGCAGGGGACCAGGCAGGACACATCGTCGCCTGGTCAACGAAGCTGGCGATGTATCCGAGGATATGGACATGGGACGCCATTTCCACGTACCTGCAAACTTTTTAAAAGCTTTGGAAGCCTATTCCGTTTCACCCCAATGTTAAACCATTCAAGTGACGCGGACTCTTTCACCTTTCCGTTTGCAAGTCAAGGTCTACAATGCAGCTGGTATTGTAATCGCTAAAGTGGGACTTCACTCTGAACCCAGCTCTTGCGAGCAACCATCTAAGTGTGTGTGTTTCGCAAACTTCTCCCTGTGATGGATGGCTGCCCCACACAAATCCTGAGAACAGCTTTTTGAACTGTCACTGATCCTATCTGTTGGGCGATGCTTGGATGAGTCTTTGTTCTACTCACCATGCCGAACTCCGCCTGGAAAAAAAAAACACCCAGAGATCGTGGTGTCTTTTCTACTTCGGAAGCACGTCCAGCCAGCCCCGGTGCCGGTGACACAGGCCTCTTCTCTTGGAGAGCCCGGTTCGAAGGCCTGTGGCGGTTTCGCAGCTGACGGCTTTCTGGGAACATGCTCTTCAAAGCTCGTCACGGCGCGCGTTGTGGCCGAATTGTTAACTTGTCCCCTTCGTCGTTCGGGTGGGAGCCCACTGTCCAGAGATTTGCCAAAAGGACTCCAGGAGCCTAAAACTGCGGATTCGCTTGGCCGCGAACCGGGATCTGCCCAGGAGTCTCGCCCGGTTCGGCCACTGAGTGATCCAACCGTCTAAGAACACTTAGAGAAATTGCACTCCCCATCACGCCCCCGCCCCCACAGGTCGTGCTGCTCAACCCTTGAACTGCGCCCAAAGAGAGTTGTGATCTTCCTCTCTCCCTCACCTGCGGCTTCTCATCATGAGCGCAAGGCATCTGCAAGACAGGCCGGTTTTGTCCCAAATCGCCTCAGTTGGCTCCCCGGGTGACGCAAAGAGCAACGCCACGTGTTCGGCGGTGTTCGGCGAGAGTCGCGGGTCCGGTCCGGAGGATGTGGGCTCGGTGAAGTCGAAGGCTGGCCCCAAAGAGACACCACACCGCAGGTCCTTGCCTAAGAAGAAGAAGAAAAAGAAAGAAGAAGAAGCCCACAACTGCAGGTGTTCTTACTCAAAGATAGTGAGACTTCCACACCCAAACCTTCTGATTGCCCGCTAACCTTCTTTGGCGCCCCTAACCAAATGCGAGAAACCCTCACCCACCCACCCCATTGCCCAAAGCCCCCTCCTTCAGAGCGGCTTTGCCAACCACCTTGGGGACCCCTGCCACTCACCACGCGGAAGACCAGGGAACGACGAGTGCAGGAAATACAGCTGTCCACCTGGGAGTCGGCGACCGGATGGGGGCCGCGTGGCGCCTTGCCCATCCCCCCCGAGCCGCAAGCGTTGGAGGCCACCTCCGGTCCTGGAGACTGGTTCATCTCCGACCCGGTGCCCGGGTAGATATGAAGTGATGCCCTCATGGCGAACCAAACCATTGGACCGTGATTGACTGAGGACATTTGGCCAAGCAAGTTGAACTTTGAGAAGTTGCGTTGTTTAGCTCTGTTTAGCTAAACACAACTTCCAATCCAGCACCTCAGCAGCTAAGATCCTAAAATGGATGTGTTTGTTTGAACCAGGCTCTTCAAAATCTAATGTTTAAACAAGTTCAAACGACCAACGCCTCGATGGTGTTGTATCTCCCTCGTCCGATCGCCTGGCCTTTCATGGTTCGGTCGGTCGAAACACCGCGGCACCTCCGTTCGATGCTGCGGCGCGGTTCGGTGCCCCGAAGCCGAACCCCCAAACCTGACTGGTGCCACGAAAGTAAGCCATGAGGGTGGGACTCCAAAAAGGAGTCTCTCGAGATCGACGATGGGCGAACCATTGGTTCGGCTTTTCCCTGCTCTTCGGCACCCAGTCAGGGCGCCCACCACGGCAGCCGCCAACGTCTCGCCCCGGGCATCAGCCGATCGCTGCCGGGTCTCCGGGCCGCGCGGAGGGCAGACTCCCGCTGAGCGGACATCTCAGGGCTCACCTGGCACCGTCCGGTGAGAGCATGCGAAGCCAGACATTGGGGTGGTTTTCCTGCAGCAAAATGAAATGGTTTGCAACAACTGTCAGGCAGGTTGGTAGACTAGGAATCTACATTTATCGACCTTGATCGACAGATCTGTCGCCTCTTTCCAGGTTGGGCTCGGTAGTAGAGTCAACATGGTGATGTCGACTTGGGATACGTTTTGGGATACGACTTGGGATATGACTTGGGATCACCTCTTACCCACGGTGGGGGCCAGTTGTCCTAGCAAAACTGCACACTTCCTACCTTGCTCTTCTTCTTGGGTGGGGAGTGGGACTAACGTACTGTGGGTTATCCATGAACTTCTCGCGTTCAAACCGTACTCTCATGTACTCTCTAAGTGCTGGACCTTAGCTACTCAATGATGCAACCTAAATCACCTAAACCCAGGGAGCTCAAAACCCAGAAGGACTTCTTCACCATCACTTCACACTGTGTACATAGAGAACGCATCCCAACTCGCATCATATTCAGGGCCGTGTTCTGGCCCTTTCCAGGCCCATTTCACCGCACGAAGCTCGCGCGCATCGCGCGCATCGCTCTTCCGAAGACGCCGGGCTGCCAGACACCTGCCTCGTCTTCCAAATCGATCCACCAGGGCTTATGTGAAGCACACAGGTCCGTGACGAAGTCATCCCATGACTCGGCCCGGCGTGCCGCACCGCGCCGCGGCGACGACGGACGCGCAGGATCTGAAGTTAGCCGGGACAAAGGGGCATGGGATCCAATCATAGGCATCCAACGAACGGTTAAGCCCTAAGGACGATGATGATCTGTTGGGCCAAAATCACATTGGCCTCAGAAGCGAGAGCATGAAAATGACTGAAATCTAAACATGCAAAAAACGCATTCTGTTGGGAGCATCTCCCCATCCTGACTGACCTTGCTTTGTCTGTCCACCAAGCTGATGCGTGGGATCTACCGTTTTCATCCACCAAGCTGCTGGGTGGCACCCTCTTCATGAGTGCCACAAACATCGTACCCAGCGCAACCAGCCACCTACTAGAATCTAGAAGAAAGAGATGCCTGCCTGCCTCCCTGCCTGTCTGCTTGCTTGCGCCAACATAAACATGAAGGATGTCGCATGTCGCATGTCGCATGTCACATGTCATCCAAAGAAAGCTTGGTCACATCCACTCTTGCCCGGCCCCAAAGGGGTATATCTTTCGGCCCAAAACCCCCTTGGGGCGTGCGGCCATACGGGAGCCATCACGCGCGCCGTGGGGCGCTCCTGGCAGGTGGTGGCAGGTGGCAGGTGGCAGAGGTTTCGTGGCGCTTGCGTGGCACGTTTCGTGCCCCTTTGAGATGTGACCTGCATGATCCTGCATGTCTCAAGAAAAGAGAAGAACCTCACATGAAACCAAAGACAAAGACTTTTTCAAGACCGCTGGATGGTCGATCGTTGGTGTTCTCGTCTCTGTTGGTGTTTGTGTTGGCCGAGACGGGCCAAGACGGGGCTCTTCGAGGACGGGTTGTGTCGGAGGCGAAAGGATCGTCTCGAAGTGAATCGGGGATGAGTTAGGGAGGTCGTTGGGATGATTTTGGAGTGCAGGAAAGACATGGAACAGGAAGGAAAAGAACACTAGTGAAGAAAAGGCGGAAGAGAACCAGCACCATCCAGGACCTACTCTTCGAAACAGAGATAACACAGATAACTCAGATATATATAACCATGATTTAGACACGTTAGGAAGCCAACAAGGCCTTGTTGGCTTGTCTGGAACGGCTTCTTGGCCTCCCATGGTCGACCTTGGTGCATCCTGGAGACTAAGCACCACTAGGCCCTCCTCTCGCCCTCCTGGGACTCCTCCTCTCTCAGGTGCGAAAACATCGCAATCGACCCCACGTGCTCTGCGAGGATGGCACGGCATGTCGTCATGGCCCGACCGAAAAAGACCCGCTGCCATCCACGTAGCCATTCTTTCATTCCTCCTAGCCATTCAGGGTGCCTTTCTCCCACTTTGATGGATCAAACTCAAGGAGTGTGCTGTGTTCCTTTCCGGATCGCACGTCCGCGACCGGTCCTCGGACCGGCGAGGACCGGTCCGAGACTCGGACCCCCCGGAGAGGCCTGTGGGATGACGCACGTCGGTCTGCGTGGGGATGGACATGTCGTCATCCGCTGCGCTGTGCGCAAACCTCGGACGTGGTCTTGTTTGAGGGGGTGGCCGGGGTGACTGCTTCTTGTTTGGGGGGATAGTATAGTGGTGTAGTATAGTATAGTATAGTATAGCATAGTATAGGTATAGTGACTAGTGACTAGTATGGTGTAGCGTGGTATGGTGTAATAGTGGATTGAGATGATTGATGGCGTGGTAGGGGTGGTAGGTCAAGGCATTTAGATGATATTCTGATACTATTCTTGTTTTCACACATACTCAACCATGCTCAACCAAGTGGATGAAGTCTCCGTGACAAAAGCAGCTTTCGCGCTCCGTTTCGCTTCTCCCGGTCAACATTCGCTGCTCAAAATGCATCGCATCTGCTGAGATCCCCCTGCGGAACCCAAGGCTTCGTTGCCTGGCCAGCGAAGGGCGAAAAGCGCTCGTTGAGGTCCATGCTTCTTTTCTTTCCCTGGCGATGGCCTCTAAGAGCGATGGCCTCCAACTTTCTAGCGATGGCCTCCAACATACTAGTACTAGGGTTTCAACTACCTCCTAAGAAAATGGTTGGGGAGCCCTTCTAAGGGTATGGTTGGAGCTTGGTGGCGGTTTTGGTGTGCAACTCTTTCGCTCCGAAATGCCCTGGATGAATGCCCTGGACCATGGAAAAAGCTCCTTCCTATATAGTAGTAAGACCAGGAGCCCCTAGTAGCGTCCTTGCTCCTAGTAGCGATGCCCTTTGCTCCTAGTTGCATCCTTTGAATGCCTTCGAGCGAGACGCTTGATGCTCTTCGGCATCTTTAGAATTCCGTGGTCCAACGGTGGCTTTAAACAGCGGCCCTGGTCTTCTACGCTTCGTTCTGCCTGAACCTTTCAGGCTAGCAAAACCTGCTCCTTTCCTTCAGCTTGCACGGAGATCACATAAAGTGCCAAACCAACATCGTTGCTTCACCTTCTTGTCTGACCTTTCAGCACTTGGGCAGGTGAAGTCGTACCCCACACAGCACATGTTTCCGGGCACCCATTGGTGAAAACTCTGTGCCTATCTGAGGGTGGCAAGTCAAGTCAGAAGTTCGAATGCAACCTCATGCCCTTTCCTCCTCCACCCCAAGCCACCCCGGCCACCTGTGGAGTGGGCTGCGGCGATGGGAAGCCCCTGGCGATGGGAAGCCCACTCATGCGTGAGGGGCGGCACTTGTGGATCACTCCCGTCACATGTAGAGAGTGACTGAGATTGAAAAAGCCCCAAGCTGTGGGGCAACAAAATATGAACATGTTGGAGGAGAGGATGGGAGAGATACACGGCGGCCTTTTTTGGTTGAGTGTTTGGGGAGAGATACTGTAAAAAAGAAGCCGTTACACAGTCAAGGACGACTGCCTGCCCTTCCAACAAGCATGATAAGGCAAAACCGTGCTGGTGTGTGAGAGAGAGAGAAGTAACATGACTGTACCCTGCAAAGAATTACCATGTTGGCCACTGATGATGCCATGGACACATTGAGGCACCTGAAAAATGTAGCTCTTCAGAACCTCAGCTAGTGGGCTTGAGCAACAAAAACACCTACAGTAAATGCCCCAACACAAGGGAACAACAATAAGCAACCTACTCTCCCGCAAGACGAAACATGCTCCCTCCAAAAACGCGTGACCCGCATCGAACGAGTGAAGAAAGAAGAAAAAACATCTAATAAAGAGATCCTAAGAGCTATTATGAGCCAATTGCTTCCAAGTCATAAAAACAGTCCAATCCCATCTGTCCAAATCTTCGGTTCTTTTGGGACCTCAAAACCAACGACGAACCGACCCGCAGCGACCCGCATCGTCACCGCCCCTCCCCCAGCACCACGCTGGTTTGGCCACTCAGGAGCCCCAAGCAGCCGGTGGTACAAGCGTGACGGCTCAGATCCAGCGTTGGAAGGCCGACCTTGGCTCCGATTGGCTCACGATGTCTTGCGATGGAGTCGCTGCAGGTCCGACGGTCGGGAGAAGGACCTGGAGGACCTGGAGGACTGGAGGGTGCATCATCTCGAAGTTTCGCTGGAGCGCGGTCCCCGCGAAGATCGGGCCAACGCGCAGCGAATGATGCGCTTCGTGCCGTGCTTCTTCTAAGTGGTTACAGCTTTGCGACCTCCGCCCGCCCCGGACAGGCGCATCCTTTATTGCGCGTGCCGTCCTCAAAAAAGAAAAAACGGAACCGTGGGCTGTTCTTTCCGCCAAAAAAGACAAGTCCCCTCAACAGGGACTCTTTGGGGCCCCACCCACCCCCCCGTCGCGGCTGGCCACCCATCCGCCGAGCCACGCGATGCACACGGATGCCACTCGGAGACATCCACCTGCACCGCAGGCAGCGAGGAACGGCCGTGGCCCTGGAGGCCGCGGTGGTTGGGCGAAGAGGAGGGGGGGTTGAGCCAACGAACGAGAGAACGGGTTGGGACGTTGTGAGAAAACGCGTGGGAAAAAGCGTGGGAAATCACCATGAAGATCCATGAATCACCCCCCTGAAGAGAAGAAGTGGGTGTCGATGTTGATGGGTTTCTTTCACCACTTGAAGACATGACTGGATGTTCACGTCATGACTATCATGAATCCTACCCACCGGTCGACGACTTTGTGAGCCAAAACAGGTGAGACTTCCGAACGTGCCAAAAGATCTATAAGTCTACAACCAGTTTTCCCAAGCACAACATCTTAGAAGTAGATCAACAAGCTGGCAACAGAGCTTGCTCCGAATTCTTCCGTAATTCTTCATGAACTTCCACATGTGCCCCGTTTGAAGTGGATGAGTTGCCCAACAATCTACCCTTTACTAAATAAACAAGCCGCACAAAAGCTGCCACAAGGATGGCGCGCAGCCTCGATCACCTCGTCCTCCTCGAGCGGCTCCCTGCGGGAAACCCCCGTCGGGAGCACGGGGAAACCCCCGATGGATACCAGAAAGACTCGGAACGAGGACGGTGGCTTCCAGCAGACGAGATCGGCTTCCATGTGATCGAAGTCCTTGCGGAACTTCCAGACGGGGCCAATTTGTCTTGCAAACTCTAAGTGTCCTTCAAATCCTGAAGCCTCATGATGGCATCATTCAATCGACTTGACTTGGAGTCCATGGTGAGCATGGTGCATAGGGGGGAAACAGATCGATCTTCCAGCGTGAAAACGTGCGAAATGCGAAACACTCCCCCTTCCGCTCCATGGACCCCTCAGGTGGGCATGTCACTTCCACTCCAACAACGTCACCGTGCCTATAGATGCACCCAGGCAAGTTGTTCAAAACCTGGCGCAAGCGTTGGGTTTCAGCGGCATTAGAGCATTTTGCTGTCGATCTGTCCTCTCCCGGCGTCTGATCGCTGTCGCGAAGCCTGTCTGAGACGCAGTGGAGAAAGGAATGCCCTCCCCACAATCATCATGGTTACGTAGATGGCACCTCCTGTTTGGTATTGGCAAAATGGTCATCCGAGCGAAAAGGGCCATGCCATCCACGGAACCATGATGATTCCAGGGAGTTGTAGAGCGCAGCTTGTATCTGGGAAACAACATGAAACAACAATTTGATCATTGAGGCTACGATGTAGAATGGGCAAAACACAACAAGCTGCTGGGCACCTTCTGCTCCCAACAACTTGGGGACTCCTTGGACTCATACCAACTCTCAGTCACTTCTATATATATTATCGATAGATAGATATATAGATGATGTGAAATGAGCTGTCTGTATGCTGCAGTGGATTGTGGCATTTTTCCTGAGAGCTGACGTACGAGTAGTATGAAGGGCTACCAAAAGATGCTGCTTGTGCTTTTGCAAGGTCCTGGCGCACGTGCAGACTGCCATTTGATCGTGTCACATGTGGTCTGCAAGGAGGCGTGGTTGAAAGCGATGCCCCGCACATGCTTCTGTGCAAAAATGCAAAGCTTCCTCTGGTTGAGCCTTGCGCCTCAAAATCTTGCGTTCACATTCAAACCGCAAAGTCCACCCTGACACAGGCCCCCCCCACTGGCCTCCTCAAGCAGGATATCCACAATGTCAGAGATCCTGGAAACGTGTGGCCGGTTTTAAAAGAAATCATGCCCAGCAGTGCAGCAGCTTCCACTGCTGTTCAACCTGACGACACTTTCCATCCCAAGGCAACCGCTGTCAGCAGAATAGAGGTAGTTAAAGCCCATGGACACCATCTTTCTGGAACCAACGGGGCGCTCCGAAGAACATCAGCATGGGGTACAAGGAACCATCAAGAACCCCAAAAATAAGACTTCGTTGCCGATATCTGCTCACAACTAGGATACCTACTCAGTCTTAATTGCTGCTATGGTGTAGAGATTTGGAAGAATGAAACCAACTCTGTGAGTCCTCCTTGGCCACCCTGGCTTGACCCACACGGAGTACGTAGGCGGGGTAGAGAACTCCACACACACCGAAGTGCTGTCCAGTGCTGTCCTGCTGTGTCCCTCCAGGAGAAGCTGCCAAGAATTCCGTGTCACCTGGCAGGCGAGAGCCCAGGTGACACGCTCCACGAGCGACCCGGTGACACCGAGCACAACCACCGGGTCACCGGTGTTCACGGTTTCTCCGAACCAAATAGCGTCGGAATGCGTCGGATCTCCAGCCGGAAGTTTCATGAAGTGTTTATAGATGGTAAAATAGATCTTGCATGACATACCCTTCCTGAGACCTTTCGAAGCAAAAGCTCCAACTTCGCTCTGCGGAGCAAACTTGGACGGTCTCACATCGGATCCTCCGATCGCAAACCACGGTGCCTGCTGGCTGCATGTCGGATCCACCTCAGCACGGTGGAGAGGGCGCGAAACGCTCAACCGCTTGCTCCGTGCAGCGGGGTGGGTGCCAGGCACGCTCAAATCCTGGTGATTGGTGGCGTGGCCGTGGCCGGCACGCTCGAATCCCACACTATTGGCTAGGTCACTGAAGACACCCATTCGTTCCACACCAAGTCCAGTGCTCCACACTGCTCCAAGTGCTCCCCATTGCTCCCCACCCACCCCCACCATGCCCTCTCGCTGCCCCACGCCGCTCTGCTCGGTACCCCCGAGCTGCCGGACCCGAAGCCGCAGTTGCCGTACCAAGTCGTTCGGGCAACGACCTTGCAGGTAGAAGTTCTCGAAGGCCTGGACCAACCCGGCAGACCCACCACCGGCCACCAGCGGCCACCAGCAGCCAGAAGCCGAAGGCGGAAGCCGAAGGCTGAAGCCGCCCCGCGGCCCGCGTGGTGCCACGGAAGCAAGCTTGGGGTAGGCGGCAGCAGAGTGTTGGGGTGGTCGGGGGGTGCCGAGTGGAGGCCGATCTCATAGGATCTCCTAGGATCCCCCTATGAGGGGTCTCTTGTTTCACTCCCTCTTCCAGATGGATGGACATGGAACCTACCAGCACATGTTGATATATATATATATAAACAGAAGCAGGCTGCAGCTCACCGAACCTGAAGCAGACGGCGTTGACTCAGGTGAGCTGGAACCGACTCCCAGGTGGACGAACGAGCGTATCCAAGGCCAGGTCACACTCATTGGCCCTCAAGCGCATTACCTCATGTCCAGCCTACATCTTTGAAGGCTACACCCGCTCGCAAAACGTAGTCTTTACATGTCTTTACCAAAATCAAAGACGTAGCCAACGGGAGTGTTGCACTGGGTAATTCCTGGGTCGATTGAGCCGATTATAGCCGATTGCATGAAACATCTGCCTACAAAGGATCTGACCATCTGCCATCGGTACCTGACCATCTTCCTTCCCACTCCTACACATCAAGGTGCCAAATCCCTCCCACTCTCGGCCCAGTTCACACCGGCCGCCGCGAGTTAGTTCACCGGAGCGTCGGGACCGGAAGCCTCGACAAAGTCGGGCCAGGCGATCTTGAAGAGGTGGCAAAAGCTGCTATCCCAAAACTTGACGCCCAGCTTCCCCTCGGAGCGTGAGGTCGTCTGTTCAACACGGCCGGGCTGGAGTGGGGGACCTGGGGAGGGAGCTAGCGGACGTGAACGGAGAATTTAGGCTCTTAAACTCTGTGACCCCAAGTCACTGTCCCAAAGGTTGTAGTAGAAGCTTAGGCCCACTTTTAGCTCCACTCCAAGCGTAGCTCTGGTAGTGAAATGAACACAAAAGTAAACCACAAACTTGAACAAACGGCTGCAGTGAAACATACATCTATACAAGCTATGTCATGTACATGTAACTGGTGCTACATCTGATCACGCCTCCCGAGTTTAACTTCTGGGAGATGTTAAACGAGTCAGGATTAGCACTTTTAGTGAATTAGCCCATAGCCCTTCAGTACATCTTGGTCTTGTAGAAGTACCTACTCTAGCTCAAGCCGTTCACGCTTTCAAAGTCAGTTCATGCTCACCTTCCAGGTAGTGGAAGTTCATGCCTTTCATAGCTGTAGTCATTTTCTCTTCGGTGACAGCTTTCGTTAGCACGTCGGCCAACATTCGGTCGGTGCCTTCTTTCTTGAGACGAAACTCTTTCTTTGCTGTACGCTCTTGTACCCAGTGGTACTGAGTGTCAACATGTTTAGCTCGTCCCAAGCCTCGACGGTTTCCCATGGCGATGCCAGCGGAAGCGTCCATTGTCACCTCTTTGCTGGGAAACAATCCCCAGTCTCTTGCTGTTGATGCGATTCCAAGCATTTGACATGCTCCAGAAACAAGTCCGTAGTACTCGGATTCGCCACTGCTCAGGGAGACAACTCCTTGGCCTTTGCTGTATGTTGTGAGACAGCATTTGTTGGCCATGAGCACGCCTCCTGACACACTCTTTCGTGTCCTTATGCAACCTGCATGGTCGGCGTCTGACCACATGTTGAAGGGGTTGCAGGTGCTTTGATTTGGAAACAACTGTGCAACTCTTGGTCGATACCTGACATATCGAGCCAATCGTTTCAGCATATTCCAGTGCCTCGATGTTGGGTTCTGTAGACCTTGTGCCAATGAGCGCGTTGCAGTTTGCAGATCAGGTCGATCCTGTGCCAAATACGCGGCTCTCATAGCAATAGATCTATACATCGTTGCATCTTCGGCACTCAGCGGAACTTCTTCGTGTTGGAGTTCCTCTTGACTTGGCTTGGCCAAAGGGGTCTTGACCTTGCCTGGTTGACCAGTGCCTAACCACTTAATGATCAACTCTGCATGTCTTGGATCTGGTTCCCACCAAATGCCTTCATTTGACCAGGTGAGGATGCGATTCAGCACTCTGATCTGTTGGCTTGCCTTTGGTGAACCTGGTGGACCGAGAATGCCTCGTTCCACAACTTGCCATTCTTTGGCTGCTGAAGTGTGAAACCATTTGATGTCATCAAAACTTCCAACTGTCGTGAAATCGTCTCCATGCACTTCTGTCCGAAGTTCTCTGGATGCGTGGTAGTAGATGCATGGATTGGACTTACCTTGAACAAATCCTAGCTTCTTCATGAACTCTGCAATGGTCAGCTCCCAATTCATGGGTGCGTCTCTGGTGCCGTAAAGGCTTCTGACCAATCTTCCTACCACATCTCCATCCTCTGGTTTCTTGCCTTCTGATGGAATTTCAACATAGAGTTCTCTTGTTGCTTTGGAGTAGAAATGAGCTCTCGTCACATCCAAAAATCCTAGGAAAGATTGCTTTGCTTTTCTTCTTTCGCCTTTCTCCAATGGAAGGCTGTCGCTGACTGCAATGGTTAGCAGTAGCTTCAAAGCTGCAAGGCTCGGCATGGCTGCGAAAAATTCGTCAAAACCTGAGCCTCTTTTGATCTCTTGCGCTACCAATCGACTTCTGTAGAGAGGATTGGTTTCATCTTGCTTGTTCACATCTACCCATCGAGTTCCAATGATTTTGGTTCCTTTTGGAACTTTGCTTCTTGGGATCTTTTCCCAAACTCCCATTGATTCGACAATGTCGATTTCATCTTTTCTGGCTTTCTCTACCTTCTCAGGTAGCAGCTCTTTTCCACTGATGTCATCATAGTACCACCAGTCTTTTGCCTCTTCTGCCATTTCTTCTGGCAGTGGGATCTTCTCTTCACACACTGGTTTCTCTGGGTCGATGCTAGATAGCACTCTCTCTCTGTCGTCTAGGATTAGGCTTTCTAGAGCCATCTCAATGCTTTGGATGTCTCTTGTTCTCTCGGCTTCATCTTCATGTTCGCCTTCTGCCTTTCTCTTCTTGTCTCTATCTACTCTGGCTTTTGCTGTGGGTGATCCTGCTGGTTCATGTTGTTCTTCGTGTTCTCTCTTTTCTCCATGTGGTTCAGGTTCGCGTGGTCTGCGAATACCTGATGCTGAAGCTGATGCTGTGCCTGGTGTTGGTGGTGCTGCTTCTGGTTCGTACCAAAGTTCGGTCACAATGTCCATCTTGTGTGGTAATGCTCCATTGAGTATCTCTGGTGGAAGGTCTGTTGTCATGACTCCACTCTCGATGATTGCATTGTTTGCATGGTTTCTTGTGACTCGGTGCCAGACGGTAGACCAATCAGGTCCTCCTGGCATGGTGGTTTGAAAACAGTAAGCTTCAACGTCAAGTCGTGCGAACACTCGACACGAATCGGGAACTCCCGATGGTCTTTTGCTTTCATATCCATGAAGGATTTGAGGTCTCTTGCCACTGACGGGTTGTGGCATGCCAGTGATTGCCTCTCCAACTCGGCTTTCATGTCTTGCTACTCTTGGGTTCTCTTCTTCTTCTCCTCTGATGCTCTCTTCAAGTCTGTCTCGACACCTGTTGGTGTGATGGATGCCTGTAGATCTCTTGCCAATCTGTGTGGCATCACAAGCTGGGCAACCTGCAGTATACCCAAACTTTTCCAGGTCTTTCTTGGTGATGTAAAGCCTTCTCAGCTTTCTTTTCTTGTCATCCATTGCCGGTGGTTGCACCAAAGCTTCACCACTTGGGCTGGCAATGATTGGTTCCCTTGGGGCTGCAATCGCTGGTTCTTCGCGAATTGCTTGAGGATCCCAGGGAATTCCAGTGATCGATTTCAGCAACTCTGAATCATATCGATCTTCTTCTGGCTTTCTCCGAATGGATTGCACTGTGAAAACGCCTGTGGAATTTCCTACTATCTTCTCTGTGGTGGTGTCTTTCACTCCTAGAAAAATTCCTTTGGTCCATTGGGCCTCGAACTTGTGACCTCTCTTGAGATATTCGATGGCCTCACCAAATGGTGGAATTGCTACTTTCCATTCACGTCCACGAAGTCGTGAATACGGAGTCTTTCCGTCTTGAAGTTCGGTGGATCGGAAAAACAGATTGTAGACTGTGGATGCGTGTTCAACTAACCAAGTCAAAACAGGTGAATCGTCAGGAAGTTTCTCACCATAGTTCGACTCGATTGCGGCTCGAAGAGTCCTGGCTTGTCCCTCCAAGGTTTGAACTGCTCGTTCAATCTCTCCCTTGGATTCTTTGACTCCTTTCGGGCTCTTCTCGATGATCAGGGTTCCTTCAAACCCATTCTTTACTGCCTCAACAACAGATGTGAGAGCAGGTTCAGGATCATGTCGAATGATCAGTTTGGAGTATCCTAGTTTCTTGATGTCGTTCAAAAGTACTTTGGATCCATATGGACCTTTTGTCACACCTTTGTAGGGCAACACATGAGCAAAAAGATGCTTCGTCCATCGATCTCTGACAACAAGACTTGGTGCATGGGTCTTCTCGTCCAAAACTACATCATCAGTTCGTGAATTCATGAAACAGTAGTCTACAGTCACTACTGGGGTTGTCTCATCGGTGTGGTCTATCTTCCTGTGGGGGTTTGCCTTAGCTTTTCCCCTTACACAGGCTTCACACCAAGACCTAAAAGGGAAGTGTGAAACAGCATGCTCTTCAAACTCTTTTCGCGTCGGGCGAATGGGAGCATGGATTTTGAGCTCAGGCGGCACTTCGTCGCCTGGCTCGGCCTCTTCGGCCTGCTCGTCCACTACCGGACTTACCCATTGCGGTGCCGGACGAAAGGGTGGAATGCAAGCGGCACAGAACAGACGCCGTTGCTGAACGAGATCGGAATCTTAGTCCCGTCTCGGGAGATCTGTCCACCAGATCCGTGCATCTGAATGCACCAGCCCTTGCTCATAAGGGCCCCCGCGGAGAGCAGCGGTTTTGCAACCGCCATCACCCGGAAACAGCAACGTCCATTGAGGGAGTTCTGGCCGATGCCGATGGTCACCATGGCATCGATCTTGCCAAGGTCCTTGACCACTTCGCCTGAGGCAGTCTTGTAGACTTTGCAGGTGCCTTCAGGCTGGATAGGCTTGTAGCCCAATGCGGTGGCCAGTTCAACAGGGATGCAGGAGGTCGCGGCTCCTGAATCCAAGGTCACCTGATGAGCCATTGGCGTCTCCATGGATGCCAGCTCCAAACTCCTGAGAGCGAGTGGATCTTCATCGCCTTCATCAGGCTCGCTTGAGGGAGTGGGATATCGTTTCCCCTTTCCCTTCTTGGCCTCACGGGCAGCATCCTGAGTGGCCACGCTGACGGCTCGAGTCAACTGCACTTTCTTCTGCTTGCCCTTTCCTTGGCCCTTCTCGGAGGCAGCCGGAGCCGAAGCGGCTCGGCTTTTGCCCGGGGATCGTGACCGGGACTTCAGCCGAAGCGTCTGCCTTGGCGCTTCGCTGGATTCCTCTGGCTTGGATCCTGGTCCACGGAATCGCTCTAGGTGCTCTTCAGTCGAGCTCTTGAACCAGGCCATGCGCTCCTCCTTGGTCTTGCCCTTCTTCTCAGGAGGTGGAGGTGTCTTGGCAATGCGCCTTTGCTTTGGCGTCTTTGGGCCAACCTCATCTTCCTCCTCCTGTTCTTCCATCATCTGCTGCATATGGGCTGTCATGTAGAAAGGAGGTTCGTTCTTGACGGTCTCGAGCTTTGGATCTTTCATCTTCAAATGCTTTGCCACATCTTCGGGCTTCAGATCCATGTCGGCGTCTTTCACATGCTTTGGCGCATCTTTTGAAGTTGGGCTGCCTTGCTGTCCCTTGGCAGTCTTGATGCGCTTTCCCATCTCTTTCTGCTTGATCGTCCATTCCTTTGCCCACTGGTTGAGGACTTTTGGCGGGCAACAATTCAAAGCCATATGGTGGTTCCATAGGCCGGTGTCATTGTCACACCTCAGGGCCTTGTTGCACGCACGGCAGACCATGTTCTTGCTGCCATCTCTGTTCTTGTGGGTGCATTTGGCTACTCATTCATCATAGCTGAGGATGCGCTCTTGGAACATGTGATCGAGCCATGGCACGGTATCTTTCTCTTTTTCTTCTTCTTGTCCATCTGACTCCTCGTCAGCTGGCTCAGTGCCATTCTCATCCTCTTCAACTTCACCTTCAAACTCTTCTTCTTCTTCGAGTCCCTCGATCTCAGTCACATCAAGGGGATTGATGTTCTCCATGACTGGAGCTGCGAAGGATGGTGCGCTTGTTGCTCCTTCGCCTTGGCTTTCGACGCGCTTCATCATAACATAGTCCTCTGGGTTGAACCCAGCTGCAGTGAGCGCCTTGTCGATGACACTGCGGGCTGGATGGCTAGTAGCCGTCCATGTCTGGCTTTCCCGCTTCATCTCTGCCAACTCTTGAGTAGAGAGATCCTCGATCTTGGGCTCCTTCTCTTTTGGCTTTTCAGGCTTCTTTGCCTTTCCTGGCTTCTTGTAGCCGCGATGCCTCTGGGCCTTTTCTCGACCTCGAGGCTGAGGGGCTTCATCAAACTTTCCCTCATCATCTTCATCATCCCAAGCTTGAAGTCGACCAGTACCCTTGGCACGAGCGATCTCATAGTAGTCGAGCTCCTCAGGGTAATTGGCCTCATAGTCGCGCCAGGAATCGAAGCGATCCTGGGCCTTGTCAACGCGATGTTGCTCAGCGCGCTGACGGCTCTTCTCTTTCTTCTTGGCCAATCTCGGGTCCATACCTGATGCCAAATCAGCTGAGAGCCTTGGCGACTCCGCCGGAACCGAAGCGGCTCGGCGAGGAGTTGGCCTCTTCAGCAAGATCTTGGCTTCTCTCTCCTTTTCTTCATACTGTTCTTTCAGCCTCTTCATCTCGGCCTGTTGTTCCAAGATGGCATCATTGGCTGCTTTGCCTTTGGCTTCGGCCTCTTCGATGGCCTTCTGGATTGTCTCAGACTTCTTCTCATACAGCTCGCGATTGGACTGCATGGTCTCTTGGATTGCTTGGTTCATGACTGCAATCCCAGCAGCTGCAATTCCAGGACGACCTTTTCCAGCTCCTGGCTTCTTTGGCATAGCCTTGACTTCAGTCTCAGCTTTTGCCTTGGCTGCTCCACGAGAAATTGCGGCAGGTGCTGCTTTCTCCATCTCGATGGCAAAGAGGGTGGCGATGTCAGCGGAATACTCAGGCTCGGGTTGATGCTCTTGAGCCATAGAGGTTTCAGATTCCTCAACTGAAGCTACCTTCTTACTTTTACCCTTGCCTTTACCTTTAGAGTCTTTGCCTTTGCCACCTTTGCCTTTACCCTTGGAGTTTTGGTTGTACCAACTACTCTTGCTCCAATCATTCTTATACCAATCGTTCTTGTTCCATGAGTTGTTCCATGACGAGGGATTGGACCACGAAGAACCTTTTCCCTTCTGTTTACCTTTGTCGTTTCCCTTGCCTCCATCTTGACTCTTTCCTTTTCCTTTGCCGCCTTTTGAGCCACCTTTGCCTTTTCCTTTGGCTTTAGCCAGACTTGCAAGTGAAGCTTGCATCTGGCTGGCAGCTGCGGCTAGTGCGTCAACATCCATTGGTGCTGATCCAGTCTTTGCTTCTTTTCGGCTCTCGATGTTCTCGAGGTAGGCCAAAATCTCTGACTTCATGATGGCATAGTCAGTGAGTCTCGAACTCTGGAGGTCAAGGTGATCTTGAAGTTTGGCTGGACACATCTGCTGAAGACAACTTCTTGCGATGTCATCATCAAGAGCTTTCTTCTTCCGCTCTTCATACTTTCGCCTGATGTTTTCCCAGGCTTCTATGCTCTCTCTGAGCTTGTCCAATGCACACTGTTGTGGGTGCAGGACCTTCTTCAGCAAAGCTGAGTTTGCTTGTGGGTTCTGTGGATCATACTTGGTGATCAATCGTCTCAATGCCTCTAGGCCAAAGTGCTGACCTCTGGAGGTATTCTTGACAATCTCGAGGGCTTCTCCCTCACATAGTGAGATCAGAGCCTGTCGGGCCTGAGCTGAAACAAGCTCGGCTCCTTCAGGATAATCATCTTCCAGAGATGTCTCATTGATCTCTGTGTCTTGATGCTCTTCGAGGAGCTGAATGCACTTTCCTGCATTCTTGTGACTTGTCTCAATCCAAGTCTTGAACTTGAAGTACCATGAATCCCAGGTACCTGTGTGTCCACTGAACTTGTCAGGCTTTGGAATGCCTTTCAACTCTGATCTGTCTCTTACTTCCACGCTAGTGGCTATGTTCCTTGTGATTGCCGCTTGTTGTGTATATGCTTCTGCCATTGCTCGTTGCAATTGGTTCTGCCCCTGTGCTAGGGCTTGCATCATCTGTGCAAATTGTTGTGCCATGTCTGTGGCTTGTGGTGCCTGTGCTCCTGGCTGTTGCGCCATGCTGACTTGCTAGCCAGGGATTGCAGCAATCCGGCTTTCCTGCAAGTGATGCTTGTTTTGTGGATCTCCGGTGCCAGAGCCGATGCGGCTCGGCAACCTTCGATTCGCAGACGGTAGCCGGGTCTTAGAACCGCGGCTCCGCTACCATGAACGGAGAATTTAGGCTCTTAAACTCTGTGACCCCAAGTCACTGTCCCAAAGGTTGTAGTAGAAGCTTAGGCCCACTTTTAGCTCCACTCCAAGCGTAGCTCTGGTAGTGAAATGAACACAAAAGTAAACCACAAACTTGAACAAACGGCTGCAGTGAAACATACATCTATACAAGCTATGTCATGTACATGTAACTGGTGCTACATCTGATCAGGACGAACAGAACAAAAAAAACAAAAAGAATCAAAAAGACCGTTGAAAGGACCCAACATGGTGCCAACAGAAAGCAACCCCCAGTGATGTTCGACATCCAAATCGGATCCCCTAGAAACATCCTTGAAGCCTCAGTCAGCCATAGCCGGGCTCTGGCCCCTCGCCCGAATCGCTGCCCTTTTGCCAATCCCCTGGGGGTGACCGCTGGCTCTGGGCGCGACGCCTCCTGCCGAAGCAAAAAGCGCGTGGCGCAAGTGACACGCTGCAGGCAGTCATGTGCCAAGGAGGCAAAGCTGTAGTACTGTATGGTTGCCTGAAATGAATTCATGGACCAAATGAATCGCACACCAATTCTGCACAACACCAAGTCGTTAGCGGCGACTCCGGAGGTCTTCCGAACCAACCAGCGAGAGGGGCCCAGCAGGGTGTTGGATGATCCTGGCTTTCCTGACACGGGGAGCCACTAAAAGAAGAGCTCAGTTGATCATGTATCATTCCTCTGGGTCATCTCCATGAGATCAACCTGTCTGGGCATCGAGGACCCGATCAACAGCAGCGAAAACACGAGCTCCACAGTGCAAAAAAGACCTTTCATTGTGCTTTCAAATTGTCTTAATAATAAAATAAATAAGTAATAAAATAAAAACACAAGTGTACGCCCGTCCCTGAAATAAAACAATAAAGTGCAGTTCACCACCTGTTTGGTCTTCAAAATTTCATGGCCATCCATCATTTAAGGCCTGCATCATTCGGCCCCACCAAAATCGTGTCCCCTCCAGCCACCACGCACCTGCCATTCGCGATTCCACTGCTGTAAGGCCTTCTCATGAAGCCTTCCCAACGGCGAAGGGTGGGTGTGAAAAACAAGCCGACCAACATGATGGTGTTGAGGAAGAAGCTTCTTCTAGGCATAGTCTTTTCATCTGTTCTATCCGATCAGTGAACTTCATGTGTTTCTTTTTACAGTGATGGCCCAAGAGTTCTTGGAAAAGGATGCTCCTCTGCGACGGCAACGTTTTGGGGCATAGATACACGACAGATGCTACGAAACGAGCGGAGAGGCTCTGTGGAGTCTCTCCAGCTTCCAATCGACCTAAAGGAGGTTCCTCACCACGCGAATCAGTCGTTTGGTGGTATTTGTTCCAAGTCTCGCCCGGTCTTTTGGGGTTGTTCCGGCTTGTTCCTGGCCTTTTCATGCCTTTTCCGGGTCTTTCCTCAGGTTGTTTCGGGTGTCTTTGGTCAACTTCCCAGCTCTTAACATCCGCAGGAGACCCCCCGATCTTCTGGCTGACTCTTGCTCAACGGGGCGGCGATCCCAGGGTCCGGGCCGGAGGTCGGTCTCCCTTCTTTCAGGTGGCTTTGTTTCAAGCCAAAAGCTGGAGGGTGATTTAAATCCTTCCAACAAAAAGTATGACTCAACTGGGTAGTCATGTCCAAATTGACAGTAATTATAGCACCAACCAGTGTTGAACCATGTTGAACCATGTTGAACCACGTGATCTATATGATCCAAGTTGCTTGCTGGTGCAGATCTCTCTTCCCATCACCCACAGCATCCGCAGCATCCGCGCCTCTGCAGCATCCGCAGCTGCTTCCGCCGCGCCAGAGCCTGGTCAGCGCAGTCCGCGCAGGCCGGGAGTGTTCGCACGGACTCGACGGGTTTCTTGAGACCGTGAGAAGTCCCACCAGACCTGACGTGGATGGCGGGACCCATCATGGGCCCCCGAGAAATCAAGACCATAGTATCCATAGACTCCAGGCTCTTGTTTTTCCAGGCAGGTGATGGTCCACTTCCATGTTTGGAGACGGTGAGTTAGCACACCCTGTTCGTTCAGGATTTTGTGACTACGCAAATAGCATGCTAGGCCCTGCTAGGCCCTGTTGGGCCCCTAGAAATCCGACCGGTGTGACCAACCGATGCACTGAGCTCCTGAATCAAACACCTTGTGCTTCGAAGACACCCCACCCCATGCGGTTCAACGTCCAAGTGCACGGCCCTCAAATGCTCCACCAAAAAGGGTGGTCCAAAAAAAGAGCCCTTCAAACTGAAGAAGACCGGCGTAGGGGTCCCAGTGGTCTTTTCCGGGGTGGGGCAAAACTGGGAAAGATTCAACCAACCGCCCCAAATTCCTGAAAAAGAGTGAACATCTCCCAAGAAACTGACTACGCTTCATGTTTTTGGGCTTAAGCTTGCTTTCCTGGTGCTCCACCGCATGGTCATGTACCCCCAAACCGGCCTTTTTCACAAGTTGAGCCTTTTGAGTCCCACAATTTCACCCAAGAGGAAGGCAGGAAGGCTTCTTGCAATTTGGGGTCATTTGGAGGACCCTCATCAGGCCAAGTGCCAGTGGTGGTTTCTCCACACCCTTTCGCAGCTCCGAAGCTTCGCCGTCGTTTCTGTTCTGGCGGGGCCGCGCGGGACACCCGGCGTTTGTCTCCTCCAATTTCTGCTGATCATCCCCTTTGCAGATCACCGGTCCGCGGGTGTCGCGCGGAAAACGCGCGCGAGCTCGCGCTCGGCCGTACCTGGAGAGCTTCCTGGGCCCAGGGCCTGGAAGTGCTTGGAAAGCGACATCGGGTGACCCCAAGAGATTGGGATTGAGATGAAGAAACTTAATTTTGAGTGGAGAGCATGGACCCTCAACGGCATTCCAGATGAACCCATCCATCGGCAGTGGGTCAAAATCCAGCCCCAAACCAGAGTAGGTTGACCTCCCAGGTAGTCTATTCTATTCATTCTTGGTCGTCAGGGTGTCTCGGTTTTGACCCGCAGCCATATCCGTTCGAACCGTCCCACCCCATCTTCGCCTGGATCAGCGGGTCGCGGCCCCCCGTCGCCCCCCCGGCGGTGTTCCGCCTCGTCCTTGCGAGGACTTGGGGCATGGACCTAGGCGCAGCGCAGCAATGAGATGAGGCTTTCCGGTTGGAATCCGCGGCCCCAAACAAAGGGGAAAGCACCCCCAAGAGCCAATTAGGTACACCGGGTCATCCCTCTTCACTGTTTGTAGCTGCAGGAACCCATCGGTGCGGGTGCATCACAAGAAAGTGAAGATTGAAGCTTCAGGTTTCTCCACTGTCGCAGGTGATCGGAAACTCCGACTGAAGGGGAAAGGCAAGAAAGGCAAGAAAGATCCCCCACTGCAAGTGAAAAAACGAGTTAAGGTTGTAACTCGTGTTTCCCCAAAAAACCCACCCCAACCCCATCCAACCCCCAACTCTCCCAATTACCCCAAACCCCTCCGTTCCGCTCCCCAAACCGATGGCACCCGGACGCCACTGGCAGCTGCAGCAGCTCTCCGAAACGTCTCCACAGCTGCTCCAGCAGCACACGGTCCCCCTGGCCGACCGGGATACCCAACGGTGCGAGCGACCGGGAAGCTTGTTTGGCTACATGGGGTTGGACCTACCTAGCTTATTGACCTCCAGGTGAAATGCGGCAATTGAGTAAATTGAGTAAAGCTCCTCAGCAAGCTCCAAAAGTCCAAGCCTTTTGCGCTTATTTTTGCGAGTGACATCATGATGTGCCCTCACATGTGCCCTGAAAATAGGCTTTTTTTGATAGCCTGGGAGGTGAAAAGGTACTTGGGATGTTTTTTCAAGATCCATGTTCCTCATTGTTCCTCTTTCGTCTTCACCTCCTCTTTCGCTGCTCCACCAGCTGGACCCGCTCCCACGAGTCCTCCGCCGCTCCACCGCCGCTCCAGCTCCTCTGCTGGGCGCCTTGACATCCAGGAAGACGGCATACAAGTGGAGCTCGTGGACCTGTCGCGGAAGGGAGGGGCCAAGGGCCCCCGATCCACCGGTTTGGTCCGCAGGTCGTTTTGGCCCGGGCGGCTCGGGCGGGAGCCATGACGGAGCAGGGAGGGGAGGGGATGGATGGGTTGGGCTTTGAAGGAAGGTTCTTCCAAGGTTTGGCACGGGATTTGACTTGATCCGGGGGCCTAGAGCTTACTTTATTTGACAGTTCTTAGGGGAAACAAGAGTTCAAAAATTTGGTCTGCCTGTCTGCCTCAAAACAATGCCAATGAACTCATCATTCCTGATGTAGCATGTTTGTGTGTGTGTGTTGGGGGTCCCAACCAATCCAATGGGTTTTTTGTCTTAAGTTTGTTTGGCATCATCATAGGTTATTGTAGGGCATCAAATGACCACTAACAAGGCCACACCACAGAGCTTCCAATCTGCTTTACTGGCGCGTGGCGCCCACGTGGCGCCGACGTTCGCGTCCGCACGTGCGCCGTGCGTTCCAGCGCGGTCGAAAGCCTCCCGACACGTCTGTCGAAAGCCTTCCAGTGCTTTTTGCCAACGCCTCGGTCGCACGGTCGCACGACCGCAGGGAGGTGCGCGACTGACTGAGCGGCGGTAGCTCTAACCGCCGCAGAGCAGGTCACCCGGTCTGGAGGAAAATCAAGGAGCAACAAGCCGAAATCGGGGGTTCTTGGGGCTGAAGATCTGGGTCTGGGATGGTCTGAAGATCTTCATAGGGACCAATGTATTATGGCAAGCTGGCTGGTCTGGCCCTGGATCTGAAGACAGCATGTCAACCCCCTGCAGGGTTTTTGTGTGGGTTTCCGTCAGCACAGGTGATTGACAGCAATCTGAGTCCGTCTGTAATGCAAAACGTTGCCCCATAGTCCCATAGTGCTCTTCTGACCAAGAGTCCACATCTGAATTCCACTGGAGGAAGGCGCGTCATGTTGTTCAACAAACCAAAGACAAGGTCTACCAATCAAGACCTTGAGATTTCTACCCAAGACTTGCCGATTGCAGCGGCCTTGGCCTCCACTGGCCCATCTCCCAACCTTCAATCCCAGAGCAGGCCCCCCTGACTGTTGCTCAGCCTCCTGCGTCGAGTGGATGTGTTCACGTCGGGTGCCCCGAAGCATGTGTCACGCGGGGTAAGCAAAGCCTCTGTGAGTGGACCAATGGGTGGTCTGTGAGTGGACCAAACGCCACCCCCCCATTTGGATTGGAAAACCATGTAAGACCTCTTCATATGAGGCGTTTGAGGTAGATCCAGAGTCAATTACGCGGAGAAGAACTGTGCTTTTCCCAGAAGGGTTTGGACAAATTTGGCATCGGACAGAGTCAACCATGACCCCTGCGCTGAAACAGATGCCCCCCCCTGCGCTACCACGCCTCTAACAGGCCAGCCGACCTGAGGCTCAATGAACGGCACAGGTCTCAATGCTCTGGGCATACTGTCTTAGGGCAAATACACATCTTGGAGGGGTCAAGCATGTTCAGCTACCAGGAGTCACAAAGGGGTGTCCAATGAAGTACCCCACACTACCTATAGGCTTCCATTGGGCACCCCTTTGTGACTCCTGGTAGGAGATTGTTAGATGTACCTCGTGACCGTGCTACGGCATGTGGGTTTCAAGAAGAACGTGCTTTCAGGACGGACTTATCCCCTGAGGAAGCGTGAGGGGCCCCGTGAGGGGCGAACTGTTTGTCAACGTTGCCCTTCAAACCTGGGGCTTCTCCTTCACACTGGCCATGGAAGGTGTTCCTCATGACTCACGAGGAAAGCTTGCAAAGCTCAAGTAGTTGAACCCAAGATCCAATGGGATGTGAAAGAACATGCAGTGCAATATCTTCTTGACGATTCAGGGTTTGCAGTGGGTGGAAGACCCAAGCATGAAACCAAGACATGCCAAACGACCTAAACCCAAGGATGTCTTCAGACATTTGTTCAGCCCTGAACCAACACACAACCAAACGTGGAGCACGTTGGCATGAAGTTCTACGCCAAACGAAAGGGTCACGCTTTGTATATTTCATAGATACACCAAACACAAAGAAAAGGAGCATGGAGTAGTGATCACCCCAAAAACAGTCGAAAGTCCTCTCCATGCGCCGTTATCCACACACCACCTCCATGTCACCGACAAACTCTCCTGGTCCGCAACCACCAAACCATAAAAATATATAAACTCTCTCCCATGTGCTCGTGCTCTCGCACGCCAACCGTGTGCTCGCGCTCGCGCGGGAACGCCGCGTCTCCCGGGAACGCCTCGCCGGGTTCCGGGTTTCCTTCGGAGTCCTGGAGGTCCCCGGCTGACAGTTCGCAAGCGCACGCTTCATGGCGCTGGCGCAGGTCTCCATCTTCTCCTCATGGATCGAGAGGGGTCGTCTTGAAACATGGCACTGACTCGCGATGAAGCGAGGTCTCACCAGCTTGGGATTTGGGGTGCCAGGAGGTGGGTTGGAGACTCTAGTAGACTCTGGCTTGAACTCTAGGTTTTACATATACTTCATGCTACTTCGAACAAATCTCCCCATCCCGTCGGAAAACTCCAGAGCTCTGTGCTCTGGTCTTCTGCACGAAACAACTGGTCCAAAGCAAAGCCGCCAAAGCCAAGGGCGTCCCAAATTCCAGCAGTCACCGCTCATTTCTCCTTTCTGCTCATGTCCCCCCCCAAACAAAAGGACCCCACACGTGACCCCACAAGTGACCCTCGCCGCATGGCGGCCCACACTGCTTCTCCCACGACGCCCCAAAGCGCCAGGCGGCGCGCCTTGTTGGTGTGTGACAAGAGAAGGAACTCCAACGTCCTACCGGCAGTCATCATCGGACCCAGCAGTCATCGGCCGACCCAGCAGCAGGTTGTAGTCGGCGCGATCCGCGGACTCCGCGGGGTTTTCGAGTTGTAGTACGCGCGAGCGAATCGGAGAGTGGAGGTTTTTCCTCCACACTCAAAGCCATGGAGCAGGGAGTCGTCCTCAGGTCCAAAGCAAGCATTCTTGTCGATGTTTAAGTGAGTCCAGGCAGGTGGCGGGTGAGGCGAGCTTGCGGCCAGCTCCATGGGTTGATACCGAACTTGGAACCATCAGCTCATGTTGTCCCGGTTCCTTGTAGACGTCTACCGAAAACATCCGACAACCACCCAACAAAAAAACACCCGCAACAAAAGAACCCATGTCGTTCAAACACTCGAAGATCATCGTCTAAATGAAAAGCCGTGTTTCATGAACATCGAAAGTCCGTTGATCGTGAAATCTGGCGGAGGAACAGCCTGGCCACCAGTTTTGTTCGTTTCGCGAAGAAGAGAAGCCCTGGCCATGCCTGGCCTGGCTGGGACGCCAATTCCACTGGCAACTCAGATGAAATGACCAGGTCAGGTGTTTGCACAAGCGCTTTCCACCAACTCCAAAAGTGGAAGTGTGGCCTCTTTTTGCCTAGCACAAAGGGTGCATATAGCAAGTGGATCCAAATGGCGCCACCAAGTGGAGCTTGAACCGTGCATATCCACTGGCTGACGGTCTGTGGGTCCGGGTTCGTTCGGAAGTCTGCCTCTTTGCCCACCCACGCCTTTTGAGAAACCGCTACGCCTCAACGTCCACGCCTTTCCCTCCTCACCACGGGCCGTGGGGGAATCCTCTCCTCTCTTCCTGTACATAAGGCTTCAGGAACGCCGTTGCAGCTTTGGCGGCCTGGCAACTCTCCCCGAAGAGCCGCGCCGGGCCGGTCCCTCGCAAAACAGGTTTCCCCAGGGTCCAACGGCACCAGTACGGAGAGCAGCAAACAGCAGGGGAGGAACCCCAAAACCCTGTGGGGAAACCAAAAAAAAAGAGAAAACATTCTAAAAAACCAAGTCAACCGGAAAGGAAAAACACCATCCTGGAAACTGGAAACACCGAACCCCAACTTTCTGCAAGGTGTTTTCCCGTGACGAAGCCAAGGAAAGCAGCTGAACAATGCTGAAGATTGGTGAGACTGGTGGAAGTACCAAGCGATTGGTTTTGGGTTCAGAAAGAACTGGTTGCATTGCTATTTAAAAAGCAGCTGTCCGCCTGTCACCTCCCACGTCCGACCAACCCGTAGACATGTTAAATGTCCGATCACAGTGATAGGAAGGAAATCAAACCTGCATTAAACTTCGTCTGCCGTCTGCCATCTCCGTGTGACGCTGCTCGTAAAAAATATCAATGATTAATGCGTCAGCCAGCACCACCCTGTCCGGGTGGTTATATATATATATATTGGATGGAACATGTAGACTCTTGATTAATGACCCCCCATGTGAAGATGATGTCCAATTCAAAAGGGCGGGTTTATGGTAAGAGTCTCCATTACATAGACTTCATCAGGGGGGTCTATAAACTATCCGTCCTGAGTGGTGCTGGAGACGACCTCTCGTTTCTCCCAACTTCGAAGAGACAAGCAGGGGGAGCGGAGCCCAGCTGTCAAGGGCTTTTGCGTGCCAACTCCGCCAAGAGATGGGTATAAATGTGATGTTCATGAACTGATGTCGGTTCATGAACAGGGGAATATTCATCTAATTACAAGATGTTGGAAATGAATATTTCTGAATATGTCTTTTCTTTGAGATACTTTAAGTAATAAGTGAGCTAATTACGTGGCTCTTTGTCCACCTCTCCCCCTCTGGAGACACGGTGCAGGATCCCCGAAGGCGCAAGGATCGCGTCGATCGCGTCGCGACGCGCGGGCGCCTGAAAAGCTGCTTCGGGCGCTGTCCAAACGAGCAGGACCTGTCCGGTCCCGGTGCATTTGCGGTCGTCACGGTCGTCGCGGTGCCGACATTCGCGCGGTGTAACGCGAAGCTGTCGCGCCGTTCTTGGGTGCTCTGGGACTTTCATTTGGCCTTGGAGGGTGTTCTTTATAGTGTTTTGTAGCAGACGTGTTGAACACATTGACAATGGTGTGGAAGATTCCAAAAGTGTGCTTTGGAGGCAGAACATCAATCTCGTCATGACAGGTGGGGGTCCGAAGACTGCGTGGATGTTGAATTCATTTTTGAGACTCTAGGGACCGAAGAGTGATACAAGGGCTGCAACGATGAACCCGCCGTCCTTGGCTGTCCTTCTGTCCTTCTACCCATCCATTTCTTGGCTTTTGCGCCACTCGTCGTCCTGGGGGGTTCCACCCACCAAATCCATCACCAAACGAACGGCCGCGTGTGTCGTTAGCGGTGTTTTCTCCTGTCGCTGTCGTGAGCCACACAGCGACGGGCCTCGTTGAGTGCCCGCAGAGTTGGCAGAAGCTCTTGCACCAGCGGCCGCGCAGTAAGCTCCTCACACCCACACGCGTGCAATGGACAGTGTGCACTCGGACGCACTCTGCGTAGCATGATCTCAGAGGGAGAGCACCAAGTCATCCAAGTCCAAGGCAATTTGATATAAATGTACTGAGGTCTGCGCTTGGATCAAAATGCCAGGATCGAACTATGAGGCCGAGGTACTTCGAACTATGAGGCCAAGGTTCTTGGCTGGTCTAGTTTCAGCTTTCACATAATACCATCTGAGCAGCGACTGTTCCATGTTCGTGTCCGACAAAAGATCCTCGGAAAGCCAGGTTCGCCTCTTGCGATGAGAAAATCAAGGTCATTTGGTCTCTTGGCCCTTGCAAGAGCGGCCAGCTGACATGCCCTGTCCCATGCTGTCCTTGCACAGAGCGGCCAGCTGATGTTGCGCCTGTTGCGGCAGAAAACAGGGACGACACGCCCCGTCTTTGAACACCATACAGTTGTTAGGTCCAGGGGCGACTCAAGCCTCGAGCAATGAAACACATGGAAAATAATGATGGAAACAACAAAACATCGTCACAGCTAGAGTGTAACTGTATCCACCTATTTCAGGGACCGCAGCTGTTGCATCCATCCGGACAGCTGACTCATAGACATGTCGTTTGGGGTCCAAAGGCATCAACGAAAGTCCTCCAAACCATCTTTTTTTCGCGCCTCCGCATCGGAGCTACAACGCCTGCCAGGTGCGAAAAGTGGGCACCAGCAAGGCAAGGCACTAGACCAAATGGATGGGAAACATGGATGGCAGAAAGCTTCCATTGCATTCAAGAGATCCAGTCATTAAACATCATCAGAGATTCCATACGTGATATTCCAGATCTTCGACCTCGTCTCGCGCATGGTGTCAGTCGTTCGTGACAGGTGAAAGGTGGACAAAAAAAAAAGGCTCCGTGCCCACCTAGTGCGGATTGCGCCGCCTGAACGGACAAAGAAGGTGACTGGGCGAAGATGTGGCATAGAGCTCTGTCTGCAAGGGTTTTTGTTCTCAACCATTAGTAGAAGAAGGATCAAAAAGGCACTCTTATGCAATACTAGGCAACCAGGAATGCAAAAACTAGTATGGTCCGTGGCTCTTCTTTGTGATGCTTCGAGTTGGCGAGCAAGAAGACTGGACGGTGGAAAACACGGTAGCCACCGCATGCAGCGCGCGAGCTCGCTCGCACCACACACTAGCGAGCCAGAGGTGTTCCTCTCAGGTTTCACGGCAGGTGATACAGGGTAGGAAAACATTACAAAAAGCCTGTGAGGCGCCAAGGTGAGGAGCCAAGGTCCAGAAAAACTGCATGGACCTGGCCATCCATATTCATTCAGAAGGGAAACCTTCCACTCGGGACATGTCTCGTGGGGGACTTCTGAAAATCGTGATTTCTTGGTTTTGGATGCTGCGATCTGTCCAACAAACATAGAAGTGGGACGACCCTTGTTGGTAGAGAAACATCGGCTTGCAAGGGTCCATTTTCGGCATGATGCTTGGCTGGAGGTTGGCTGCCTTCTTGCGCTCAAAGGAACTCTCATTTGCATTGCAAAGGTAAGAATCAGATGTAAGAAGTGTAGTGCCTATGATGTCCTTTGGGGAATAATAGAGGGGGTCGATTTGGGACTATATACATCTATATATACTAATTGGTTGTTCACGATACCCTTGGTATCCGGTGGTCATCCACCAAGCAAGGGCATAAAAAGGCGAGTCAAGTCTCTGGTGTTTTCGCCTGCGAGAGTCGAAATCGAAGAGAATCCAATCGACTCTCAAGCACTCCCGTCGCGTCGGCCCGTCGCGTCGGCCAAGGGATTCTGGACGCCCATGGAGGGTTTCTTGAAAAGCCCCTTGCCAAGATCCGTGTGGAGACTTGAGTCTATCCAGTTTCACTGCGTCCGGATAAAACCACTGCCTCGGATTTGCTTAAGTTCATCCTCCCCCTATCAAAACACACGAAAACTGATGTCTCCCAAAGCCGTCCGCGGCTATTGACGCTGAGACCAGTAACGCGCAAAAGGACATGGCCGCGACAGGATGTGCCTCCATTCCATCCAAATAGACTGTTGATCATTCTCAGAATCCTGCAGAAAATCATCAGATCATCGGATCTGTTCTTTTCATATCACTTCGATTCCGATCCTCATGCTTCACCGCATTGGCCAAGGAAGGCTACAATGCATGCCATGCATGGTCCGGAAGCCTCGAAGCCACAGCATGTAAGGGACACCCTGGTGTTGATCAAGCGATGCTTCATGCTTCAATGCTTCGCAGCTTCTTAAGTATCTCAACCAATCAAACAACATCTTACCGTCTTGAAATCTGTGGAGGACCTCTAGAATTCGCGACGTTCGCTCCCATTCATAATCTCTGTCCTGAGAGCGCTTCAGCGAGCATCCGACGGTGCCCGGGCGGGGCCCGGGAAGGAAAAAAGATGTGCAGAAACTGCTGGGCCTACCTAAAGGATTGTCTAGGTGACTGATGCTTCCATGTGATAATTTGTGATATGTGCGTGTGTGTTATGGAAGTCTGTGAAAAAGACTGTATGCCAATAGAATTGCAACTGGGGTATCTGGAGCGAAGCGATTTCAAGAACTGCCCCTCTCATGGTCTCTTGATCCTTTCATGTCCTGGGCCCCCTTTTCCTGCGCCACACGAGCGCTAAGCTGTGAGCCCAGTGGCGGCCACAAGGATGGGATAGCGCACCACCAACACCTTCCCTGCTGAACAAGTCCTCCAACACATGCGAGGTCATGCGAGGTGTAGCTGAGCTGTGCGAGGTGTAGCAGTTGGAACTATGAACAACTGGTGAGTGGATTGGCTGAGGGTCTCCCTTTTTGAACACAAACACACTCTCCTCATCCTCGCATCCTTGACTCCTGAAGTAGCGCTGCCCGAACGCCACTCGAACGCGCCAAGCTCACCACGGTTCAAGCTCCGTCCGAACAAGCCCCCGCTCCGATGCGCAGAAGCCACGGAGCCCCGGCCAAGCTGGCGGACCCGACCAATTCGCAGCGAAGCAACGGACCGGCTCACCCAGCAGTTCCAAGGGGGTTGAGACCGCAGAGACAACAGGTTCGGGTTGGAGGTTCGGGGTACCCATCCTGCAGGCTAGGGGTGCAGGTTCTGGACAAATGCTTTATGGAGGAAGGTGCCCCATGTCACATCCACTCACGGAAAACAAAGAACATCAAATAACTAAGCCCTAAGTGGACCTTCAAAGGTGTGTCCAATGAAGATCCCTAGGTAGTCTAGGGGCTTCCATTGGTGACCCCTTTGAAGGTGCTGGTACTCAACCCTTTCCACCACATCCTGACTTTTTGTGACTCCTCTTCGAGGGCCAACCATCTCCACTGACTCAAGACCCTCGTCACCGGCTGCGGGACTCGGCTCAACTGGACGGGACCCGACCTCCACCGGCCACGACCTCCACCGGCCACGACTGGACGGAAGCACTGGACCTTGCAAGGTCCAGGCTGCGTTCATTTACTCCCACTCAGTCGGTGTGGGGGGTACAGTATATTTTGCTCAAGAAACACAGAGGTCGGAGGCGGACGAAGACAAGCAAACCAGGGCATCGCTACTTACTAGCAAGGACGCCACATAGACCGGGAGACCAGTGCGACCGGTTGAGAAGTGGTCTCCCTCGTGAAGGAAAACCAAAGACCGAATCGCCAAAGATCGAAGCTCCATTTTCGGGGGGGCGCGCTGGAGCGCTCCACAGGCGGACCGTACAGCCGGATCTGCGAGATGATTTGGGTCTCCATTGCCAAAAAGGGACAACACCCAGGTCTCAAACAAACCTCAAACCCTTGAAATCGTCGGCGCGAAAAAAGCCTCGAGTAGCTGCTAGGGCTCTTTCAGGGTCATATGATGTGTCTTTGGTGCGTGTGTAGACTTCCTTCTCATCCCCGAGCCGCTCCAGCCGCTCCAGCCGCTGCCGGCACCAACCCATCCTGCCGCCCGCCGGCTGTACGGGGCCCTGCCGCCCCGGTGCGCGCATCAACCGGTGGATTCCCGGGAACGCGCCGGTGACGCGTGATGAAGGGGTTGGAGGATTCATGCGTGGCGATGAAAGAGCGCACAAACGCATTGATGAGGTACTACGAACTGAAAGAAATCACTAGATACCATATGTAGGTATACATGTGTATATATACATATATATATACATATATATATATGTACATACATATATATATACATATATATATATACACATATATATATATGCATGTTAATGTAATATAACATATTTACATATCTATATATATATATATAGTGATATAGCACAGTATAGTATGATATAACACAATATAATACATTTTTATGTTATATACTTGCTTATCCTTGAGCACAGCGTTTTTCAGCCGCTTGATCCCCGTCATCGCTCGCAGTTGCTCGTGGCTTCCACATTACACCTGGAAGATCCCAAAACGGCCCCGAGCTTCCCCAACACCATGCTTTCGAAACACCGCCAGCAGGGAGAGATGGATTTTGCCAAGTCTACATCTGCAATTCTCCATTCTCAGTGGGAATCCAAGCTCCGAGTCACTGCTCTTTCAAAGCCACCCATGCGAAGATGTTCTTCGCCAATGTACACATGCACGAATTGACTTGCAAACTCCACGGCTAATCTCCCAGACGGGAATGTATCATTGGTTCCCTGATGGCGCTTCACCATCTTCTGAACCCGAGACAAGGCCCCTGCCATGTGTGTCCAAACATGAAAAGACACCTGCCATGGTTGTGAACACTGAAAACTCAAAAACCCTAGTGGCAAAAGGAAACCCAGTGGCTGGGTCAATTCCGACATGTCTTGTTCAGATGTGTTTCAAGAGTCTTCGCATGCCTTCTCTGAATTAGGCAGCGGAAGCAACTCGAGGAATTCGCCCCTCAACTGCGGAAAATGTCAGTCAACCAGCCGGAGAATCTTCGTGGAGGAGCTGCTAGTGAATTGTGGCTGCTGGATTCTCAAAAGCGAAAACCGCACCTCTCAGGCGGCGGTCCTGGCGGCTCCTCCCGCGACCGACGCGGCGGGGGGTTCCCGGATCTCCACTCATCCAGCACCCCCCAGGGGAAGCGCTCGAGAGCCTGGAAGCGGGCCAAACCACATCCAGTCCAGGCTCAACCGCAGAGATACGCAGGGTGAGTCGAACAACAAACCTGTCGGAAACACATGGTGCCGTGAAGAAGTGCCACACATGTCTCCACGTTCCTCACCAGCTAGCGTCTCAAAATAGGGAAGGTCCCCAAAAACACTGTTGGCACAGGCCATGAACCAAAATCCAGCTTTTTCAGCAACCCAAACTAGTGGTCCGCTCCATTGCTCTGGTCCCACCACCAAACCACCAAACCCCATCTGCCCCGACCGAAGACCCACGCCGACCAAATGGTCGCCTGGTCGCCTCAAGGGTTCCCGTATCGAGGTTCTGAGGCCTGGCCCGGGCTCCACACATTTGGGGCCCCCGTGGACATGGGCCGTAAACGGGGGGGCGTCAACGGGGCGCTGGCCCGTTTACACGGGGCGGCCCGTTCGATGCAGACCCAGGGTCCTGTTTCAGGCATTCAAAAAACAGCGCCTGTCGGACGTCCGATGTTGGGGTTTCTCAGACCAACACTAAACCTCACAAGAAGATGCTTCAGTCAAAACAAAACCATCTGTCCGACGCGTGGGATATGTCCAAACGCCCAACATCTTCTTTGTGGAAAATGAGCGTTCCCTTGCCCGCACTGGTCTACCATACAGCGAACATCCAAAAGAGAGCATCTTGGTGCAGAGACACCCAAATGTATTGAACCATGAAACATTTGTGAACGTCCTTTTTGACATTATATATGTGTGTTTGTTTCTCTGTCACTTTATGTCAGGCTTCCGGAAATGAGTGAGACAGTCAACCGTCCAAATCGTGCATGGCCCAGAAGGAGGTTGCGACGTCCTCAAAAAATCTGCGTTCGTCTGCGCATCCAGGACCTTTCTTCAAGTGCCGCTTAGTTGACCCCGAAGAACAACTTCATCTTGACCTTCCAAGTGCGCCTGCTTGGACAGGCCTTAGATCCTCGAAACATGCCACCAGATCCCCATCCTTTGTGAAGGACCCCCCCTCTCCTGACCATCCACTCGCACACCCTTCCAGTCAGCTCCGCTGCAAAGTTCCTTTCTCCACTTCGAAGTTCATCATCGCTCGAAGCTCGTAACTGCCACTTCTCAGACCGCGCTCGGAGTTCATCGGCTTCGCCAGATCTGTCCAGGCATCCGCGAAGCGCTGGTGCTCCCCGTCGCGGCTCCAAAGGTGCACCTTGTGGCGACCCCGTTGCGGCGTTCGACTGTCCAGCGGTAGTAGCGCGGGTACGCGAACCCCGTTTGCGGATCGACATGCGACCCCGTGAGGACCCCAAGGACCGAGTTCGAAGCACCGAGTGACCGGAGGATTGGACCGAACGAAGGCCGAAACACCTTGGAATTCGTGGTACACCCCTTGGGGTGGGATTTGATGAAGCGAAATTCGTGGTCCAAAAAGACAGACAGACATGGGTCATGGGTTTCACATGGGTTTCACTTCATTCATCGAATTCTCAAAAATAGTGACGATATGTTAGACTCTTACAACATGTTACAAATAATGGGGCTCAATGTTGATCCATGTTCCACTGATTTTCACATTCACACTTGGCTAGCAGGTGGACTCTCAAATCATTTGCTGCTGGGCTACAGAAACACTGCCTGGGAACGATCGGAGGATCGTTCCAAAGAAAGGACTGCAACGTCCAAAGTCCAAAGAATCATTTCCACAACTCATCTCAACACATGAATGAACCACAAAATCTCACAAAACCATGGTAGAAAGTAGAAACATGCTTTTGTAGTCAGGAGATCTCAGGAGAACACAGCCCAATGTGCCCCCATACAGAACAACACAACACACCACAACAACCACAAAAAAAACACACACACAGCACACACCCGACTGATGCGTCCCGACTGATGCCTCCGCCGTCCGACCGCCCTCGCGCCTTGATGTCTCGCTGCACCGATCGCAGCCGCTCGCGGAAGATCTGCACCTGACGGAATCACCGCCGCACCCGTCGGTCCGGGGCGAGGCCGAAAACGCCGACGCAAGCGGTGGAGAGTTTCAGAGTTTCCAGATGCAGCAGGTGTGAAAAACCTCAGGTTGTGGGGCCTCATAGACCGGCTTTGGTATTAACGGTAGCTTGAAGGCCTCTGCAAGGCTCGAGCTACAAAGGCCTTCGAAGAATTGTAAAAACAGATCCGCTCCGCTCCACCAAAGGCTGTGTTTTCAGGCTGTCCCTGATCCCTGCGATCACGGTCACGTCAACACCCCTTTCTTCGCCTCCAGCGCACTTGGGCCTGACCAAGCACCACTGCTCTCCATACGAAAGCGCACATGCGCCTGCGGCAGCGCGCGCAAGAGCGACTCCTGGGTGCACATGCCGAAAACAGTGGGTTCCCACTGCGGTGCCGCCCGGCTGCAGAAGAAGGGCCCCCTCTATGCCCACCTCCCCCGGGGTTCAAGGCTCGCACTCTGCAAGACAAAGGATGAGTGAGAGAGAGAGAGAGAACAAAACAAGAGGTGCGCCACCACATCTGACATCCCAAGACAAAAACACTGCAGAATGCAGCCACGTTTGGGGTTCTTCAGGGTTGGGACCTCAGCATCTCATGGGTTCCCTCTGTTGGGCCAGGACGTTGAAAATGGAGCCCGAAAACGGGGCCGAAACCATACTACCTGACTACCTTTGTGCGGTCAGTGCGCGGAAAAGACCACCTTTGTTCAGAGTGTTCTGAGATATCTCCTTGTGGAAAGGACATTAATTCCTTGCGGGACTTGAGGCCAAGGGGGGGGGCGAAAGCTAGCGCTCCAGAATGGGAAAGTGGAGGGCAGCGAGGTAGGAAAAACACGGCGCTCTTTTTGGAGGCAGTCGCACGGAGTAGCAGAAGGCAGGACGCCTTGCACAAGTTGGACGGGGCAAACGATTCCAGGTGAAGAGTCCTTTATATGTGGCTCTTTGCCCGGATCCTCCTGCAAGAGACGAGAGAGAAGAGAGACGGAAAGACGAGAGACAGAGAGGAGAGAGAGAGAGAGAGGAGAGAGAGATGAGAGAGAGATGAGAAAGAGATGAGGGAGAGATGAGAGAGATGAGAGAGAGATGAGAGAGAGAGATGAGAGAGAGAGAGAGAGTGAGAGTGAGAGTGAGAGTGAGAGTGAGAGTGAGAGTGAGAGTGAGAGTGAGAATGAGAGTGAGAGTGAGAGTGAGAGTGAGAGTGAGAGTGAGCGAGTGCGGCCGCAAGATACGCAACGCTAACCGCATGCCAAAGAGCGACGACAGGACGGAGTCGAACTTGCCAAGAGGGAGGAGGGAGGGAAGGTGGGAGGAAGACAGTTTCAGCCACCTCGTGTGCACCTCAACCCGGACCAACGGTCGTCTTAGGTGCGATCTGCTGTCCGTCGTCTTCCACTTCAAGGATCTCAAGTTGGAGGTGATGCGGCTCCGACCGACCAATGGAGCTACACTCCCAAGTGAAGAGTCCTTTATATGTGGCTCTTTGCCCGGATCCTCCTGCGAGAGAAGAGAGAGAAGAGAGACGGAAAGACGAGAAACAAAGAGGAGAGAGAGAGAGAGAGAGAGCGAAAAGAGAGATGAGAGAGAGATGAGAGAGAGAGAGAGAGAGACAGTGAGAGTGTGAGAGTGAGAGTGAGAGTGAGGGGGGGGGGGGGGGGGGGGGGCTTCGACCTGAAAAATCAGGGGTTAGGATTTGCACCCGATCGAAAGAAACCTTGCTATCGCAAGAGTAACTCCAGCTAGCTTCGCTAGCTTTCGTGATTAGCAGTCTCTTCACCCTGATTGAAACCATGTCAAATTCGTAAGATTTCGTAAGTATATAGTGGGAGCAGGTTAATTATAGCCAACGTGACCCATCTCTCTCGCTATTTCTCTACTGCACACGTCATTTTCTGTCACTCCACTTCCGCAAAATCTATCAGCTTCTCATATTGTCCAGAAGAGGAACATCATTGAGCCACCATGAGGCAGAAACCCAACACCGGGATACGACCGAGCACTGGCAGTGACGGGTGTTCCAATCCCCTGGCGACTTGCGTCGTCAACCTCTCATCTCACCTAACCCCCCCCGCATCATCCGGAAAAGGACCTTCTGAAAAAGAAAGATCACTCACTCACCAAACAAATAAACATCAGATCAGAATATGATCTCCCGAAAACTCAATCTGTGAAGGGCGACCCGCTGTCCCCATCGCCCGCTGTCGAGCGTCCATGAAGGCTCCGTTGTAGATGTTCGAACCTTGCCACTCAAAGCTCTGCACTGAACCCAGCTCAAGAGCTGTCAAGTGCTGTGCCGGCTCTGCTGGCACTTGGGGCAGATGCAGCTTGCCGCGGAGGTTCAAACGCTTCAGGGTTGAGCTTTCAGAGAGGCACTGGAAGAGGAGGCACAAGCTCTCCTGAATGAAGCAGGAAGAATGGGCACCCTGTGAGGTGATGACGTTCTCTAGCTGGTTGTGGAGAGGCTCCAGCCAGGGTTGTTCCCTTTACTGTATAGATGCCCCAGATCTCTGCAATTAGAAAAGGGTCCGCATTCAGAGTTTGAGTTGGAGGCTTCTCTTTTACCAAGTGGCTCTCGAAATGCCTATTTCCCTCACCCGTTAAGATACGTTGACTGGGAATGAGAAGTCTGGAACCGTGGCGGTACGAGCTAGGACGCAAAGGGCACCAGGGCTCGAGGGTAAGAAGAACTCTTTACCTAAAAGCTTTGCCTGATTGCCTTGTATTTGTACTGAAGAGCATTGTATTGGGAATCTGCATGGGCTTGTAGACTTAAGCCTCGCAAGCACGCAGGAGCGTTTTGCCACGAGACTCTGGGAGACTGAGGACTGGATGGTGCATTGATCATCCACTGATCCACTAAGAGGAGAAAAACCACACGTCCGGCGGACCCAAGGTGAGCCTCTCAGAGCGCTCGCCACGGCGAGCCTCTCCGGTCACCCGAAGCTGCCGACACAGCCGACAGCGGGGGAAGAGTTTCACCTCACGATGCCAAGCCACCCACGACCAGCTGCCAGCGGTCAGTGCCAGCTCCTTGAGAGCTCGTCCCGGGCGACGTTGGCCTCAGGTGGGGAAAAAAGAGGGGTTGAAGAGCCCATGGTCCAATGGTTAGATGCATTCGCCTTATGGTTAGAGTCTTTTGGAAACTGTTTAAAACCAGCGTGGACTTTCTAGTTGGCCACTTACAGTAGATGTTCCCTCTACTTCAGGAGAGCCATGAATTCACACGATCTCAGCAGGCCATTTCCATTGTCCAAGAGGTAGGGAGGTTCTTGGTTGCTCGACAACATGCAAACGATATGTACAGGCAGCACAGGCGTGAGTTCTTTTGTTGCTGAGATGCGTTGCAGCTATTTTTCGGTCCCTTCTCAAAAGCCTTGCTGTTCCAGCCCAAAAAGAAGCATCGCACAACGAACCGCTCTGAATGCCCAGAGCGTCCGGCTCTCATTCCCATCTCCGCACCACGCCTCTGAAGTCGAAGCTTTCCACGAGGCGCGTCGCCACCTCTTCGTTGAAGTCGCCGTCGGCACCCGCCGCCCGGATGGGGTCGATGTAGACGTCATGCAAGTGCAGGACTTCCAAGTTGGAGGAGTTTCCTGGGTCCGCTCCGGTCGACCTGGGAGACTTCCTGTGACCGTTTTCATCTTAGTGGGACTCCTTCTTGGGGCTTCCTGTGGCTCAGGCGAGAAGCAAGTATAACAAGGAATCAAGAAAACATAGGGACGGCCCCACAAACTCCCAAGTCATCTGGGTGTGGGCCAGCAATCCATGTTGCCAACATGGTCGCCAAAATTGAAGAATCGCACATGCTGGGGAGAGTCTTTCTACACCTTTTTCAGGCGGCAAAAACCGAAGCCCCTCGGCCTCGCCTCGTGTTCAAACAACAAAATTGGTGCTGAAAGCCGGTGCCAAGTTGACGGATAAGATCACTCGAAGGATGAAATTCTAGTCCCAAAGCCCCCGAGAACATCTGGATTCAAGAGGTATGCTCTATCTGAGGTGGTGCAGGATGTCTTCCTTCAAACACGTGTCAAAATGGTTATCCTTCCTCCTGTAGATGATACACCTAACTAGTGCTTTTGGGGGTCAGTTGATTAATTGCAATTCTTTTTGCGAGTAATATATCAGATTGCTGCTATCGAACATGGGATGCTCCAAAAGATATTGCAAAGGTTATCCTTGACACTTTCCGCGTCCTATCCACTGATATTCTCCAAACAGCCTTCGATGACAAATGTGACCTGCAAATGCAAAGTAAAGGGTGCTGAAGCAAATGCAGAGATTCTCAGCACCTGCGGGAAAGCGGAGCAGAAGGACACGAATGATCGCAGTCTGTCTCACTACACTCAGGACACGTGGAGTTGATGGGTTGATCCCTTTTTCAGAAATTAGGACATCGGTTCCAAAACTAAAAAGTCAGACCCCAAAATAGATAGAAAGGTTAATTTTTGAGCAAAATGTCTTGGACACCGTGCCATCTATTTGAAGACCATACGGGCGCCAGCGGGGTGTGTCGGGGAACTGCGACCCGAGCTGTTGAGCCGAGCTGTGGAGCGCACCTGAGCCACCACAATTCGGCTTTCAAACGTCGGTCCCAAAGTTGGAGATGAAAACGCTCAAGCCAGAAGAAGTATTGGTTTTTATTGGGCTTAAACCAGCACCACCCAGGTTGGGTGTTTTGTTCTTTTTTTCGACCCCCAGGTTAGATGTATTTTTTTTTAATCAAGGCAACCACCCCAACTGGGTGGTGCTTCAAGGGTTCCTTCATGACTTTGGGGTGACCTGGCTCCACCACTTCCCCTCGCCGTCAACAGCGACCTGGTGCAAGGCGACCCGGTGCAGCGGACGTGGCGCAGCTGGGCGGAAGAGAGAGATCGCGTGATTCTCTGAAACGCGGACCAACTGGATGGCTTTGGGATGGTTTTGGGATGGAATTGGATGGTTTGGTTCAAAGAACTCCGCGGTGTGGTGTTCTTTTGGTCAGCACGACTTTGTGGCTGGCTGCCGACCTCCCCACCTCCGAGCCCCAAAACGAAGCCCGCAGACGAGCCTCCAGTACCAGAGGAAAGAGCTCGCGGAAGGTCCGTGGCTCGTGCAGCCGCAGCGAGAGCAAGGGAGGCTTGGCAAACCGCCCTGGCGCGACCCGGATCGCGCGCGGCCCGGATCGTCGGATCGCGAGCATGGATTGGGTGCAGGACCGGTCTGGTGAATATTGGATTGGAGTAGATGTCGAGTGTTGCGACCGCTTCTGCGATGAACTACCCCACGTCAACGCATGGACCCCTCCTAGGGCGGCCACCAGGTCCGTGAGGATCTCCCGTCGAGGGCGCCGTGATCCGAAGAGACGGCTGAGTTGGTTGGTCTCAATGCGCACATGGAGCCCAAAGTGCCCCTGCTGGAAGCTCTCCCAAGAGCCTCGGGCGTTCCACGTCTCGGAGGACATGGCCGTGTTTAGAGGCCAAGCACGGACGAGCACGTGCTGATTTTGGGGGGGGAGCAGAAGACGTGAAAACACCCGTGTTCAACCACTGGTGGAATTGTACCACAAGCTGTTGAATCACTCCATCTTTCGGTACACCACCCCTGTTCTAAAAGATCTAAAAGGTTATCTATCAAACGACAAACGAACAACAGTGGATTCTTGGCAAATGTCTGGCAGGAGGCCCCATCGGCCAGGTTAGATTTGCCATCTTGTTTGGAAGAAATATTTTTCTTGAGTGTTTTGAGAAGTGGACAACAATCTCCTGAAAATGGGTCTGTGAACGACAATGTTCCTCCAGACACCTCAAAAAAAATGCCAGGGAGCGCGATGTTATAGCCTTCATAGGAGAGGCCAAAAACCCAAACATCATCCAGTCCGCCGGCATGGTTCAAACCCAAGATGGACAATCCCAGCCCCAAATTTGAATCGCCAAACCGCCACTGGTCCAGGTAATGTAGACTCTTGATGAAAAAAACATGGCCCCATATGAAGAGGTGTTCCATGGTTTTCCGATCCATGTCTGGATTGGTATCATATATATAGTCAAGATTCTACATTACTCTCCAAGAACACGTCTTTGAAGCGCCCTCCATGAACAGCCACACTCGTTCAACCTGCGTCTTGGGTCGTTCGAAGCCCTGGTCCGTCCGTCCGGTCATGTGGGTTTGGGGGTCGGACCCGCAGCGTTCGGCCCCCGAGCCGAGGCGCTTGGGCCCACCAGCGCCAAGCTCCAAACCTCGCGGCTCTGTAGGAACGAACTCGCCAAGCTGCTGAGGCGTGCGAAGGAGTTCGCCATGGCTTTCAGAGGCGGCACCTCCACCCCAGGTCAAATGAACAGATTCCTCATGAGTCCTCTAGAAGGGCTGATGAAATCGAAATATCATGGTTTGGTGACATCGACATATCATGGTTTGGCACACTCGATGTGAGACCTCTCTGCAAGATCCATTCGAAGCTTCTGAATCTCCCAGTGAGCCTTGTGGAACCCTTGTTGGAAGGATGATTTAAAATTTCTGCGCTAGTTTCGAAATGGTCGACCGTTTGGATCATAGGATCAATTCGCACTTGTGTTTTGTCTCTGAGATCTGACATTTGTTTCTGCAAACCCATGTAGAAAGCCTCTATGATGGATCACGATCCTCAAATCTCAAGGGCACTTCTACTTGACCATGGTCTTCCGCTTCAATACGAGCCATCTGGCCTCCAAAATTGCACGAACACCACGTCGACATACAGACATACTTTTGTTGCGCTGCGAGTTGCGTTGTCATTGGTCCAGGGAACTCCCATCATGTGGAAACAGCATGGGAAACTGTCAGTGGTGAGTTGTGAGTAAATTTAGACCATTGAACTTCTTTGTCATGAGCCATGTTGTTTTCCCAGCCATCCAGGCCCACGAAAACATACTTTGGTAATTGCCAGCCCATTGAAAGACAGCTTCTGAAACTGGCAGTCTTTGTCTTCATGTTCAGTGGTCAACCAAGGTCCCCGGATTTGGGGCCAAAACCGCCATAATGGACGTCCATGGCGGTGATGTCAAACCCTGGGAAATCTCGCACACGAAGTGACATGAAGCCCTGATGCCCTTGGGTGTGTGCCATGCCACACCTGAACATTTCATCCAATGGATGACACACAGATTGTGTAACACTTCTCCCAACCAACCCAACTCCCGGCCACGTCACAGTTCCCTCCCACCGTTCTTTCAGGTGGACCTGACAAAAGCCACAGAAAACCCACTGAAAACGCTCCTAAGCCTCGAAGATGGGCATTCCTTCACGTTGATGGATGTCTTTCCTTCTGCCCAACGGCCCACCAAGTGGAAGTGTAGCCGGAATCATCATTGGCAGATCACCCAACGATGAGAGGGCATGATTCGCCGGTCCTGACTTCAACCTGACATCCTAAGCACCCAACAGCTGGTGCCATCCACGTCGGTTCCAGAGAGCTTTTCGATATCAAAACCTTTAAGAGGTCCGGACTCCTTCACCCAAAACACAGCCGGTTCTACGTAACCCTGATTCTTCTAGGGAGTGTCTACTTCAACCGATCCACAACCACATTTACTCCCTCTTCCAGAGACTCAAATGGAACCTTTTTGCACCACAAATCGGTGGCTCTTCGGAAGATCATGGGTTTAGCGATCTTCCATGCCTCGTCCAGTCTGGTCCATGCGGACCCTGGGTCTCTATCACCCGACCTCGGCCGACCTCCAGCGGTTTCGCGGCCGCGGCGGTTTCCGACCGTCTCTGCCTGGCCGTCCGCCTTGGAGATCCAGTCACCACCGCTCTCGGACTCCACGCCCTGCATGGGTTTGAGGTCGCCACGCTGCTTCGGCACGGAGCTCAGGCGGTTCCGGCAGGGCCAACGACTCCGTTCGAGAAGGGTCGGTTTGGGGCTCTTCTGGGCAATGGGAGGTGTAAAGAACCCGAAACACTTGGGATGATAGTTGCCTAATTCCTTCAGAAAGAAATGGCATTTGGAATGCCTTTGCTTCAGAATGTCTTGGGGATCCTTCTTCATTGGATGAGCATCCGCATATGTTCGTCAACCTGCGGGGTGGCAATTCACACCCAAGTTGCAATAGCTAGAATGCAGTGTGAAAATGTGGGGTAGTTCAGGGCATTTAAACCTGGTGAATTCTACTGAGAACCCGGCAAGCTTCCACTAAACCCTATGCTTCTATTTTGTAAGCTTCTGTATAGCATGTGTATCCTGGAATTTGACCCATGCCCATCATAATCTCTGGAAACTGTTCCGTCCTCACCTTCTCTCAAGGTAGAACACCAGCCACGCAGCGAACCTAGTCAACCCCCGAAACCCACAACCCTCGGGCTGGAAGAAATACTGCAAAGAAACGAATTTATAGACACCCCTGGCCCCTGACCATCTATGTTCCATCCAATAACCACCCTTTCACTCCATGGTGCTGCTTTTCATGCTGCGTATTCCGTTGCTTCGTAGCCACGTCCGAGGCCGGGCCTTGGCCACCATGGAGAGCTCATCGCCCGGGCCCAGGAGCACCAGCTCGGCACAGTCGCGGCCCCGGAGCCGGCCGTTGTAGAGATACTCCTCACGGGCGAAGGCCGCAGTGGGTCGGTCAGTGGGCGGGGAGGAAGACACGAAGACTCGGAGAGAGGAGAGAGAGAGAGAGAGAGACTGGGTGGATGAAAGGCAGAAGTCCACATCTGGTGGGATTCCAGGTCGTCTCCTGTCAAGGATCCACTTCTGCAGCCCATTTTTGGAAAAAAAGGGTTCAACCAGCTGCATGTCCTAGAAAAAGGTCTGAAGACCGGCTCCTTCTTCATGATCTTTTGATGCCACTCGATGAGCATCCGCATCATCGTGGTGGGCGTCTGCACGCCGAAGTCCCTGGACGAGCGAGTGGGGGTGCCATGAGGCCGTTGGGCGAGCAGTGCGCAAAACGGGATGATGTGTTGGGCTGAAAGGGAATATGGAGGGGTTCTGCAAGGGATTGGTTTTGGCCAGAAACTAGGGGGAAACTCTGACTTTCGATTTTTTTGGGCGGAGTGGCTGGTTTCTGGCCATGGCCACGTGCTTCGTTTGTAAACACTCTGGTGTACCAAAAGCAGCTTTACAGCTCTTTAAGATTGTATAAGCAAGTGTTTCTGGCAAAAAAAAGAATCTTAGCCTTCAGACCTTGGCAGTCCTGGTTTCGCTTCATTTTTTGGCACTGGTGCCTTGAAAACATATGATGACACAAAACGACACTTTTACCTGAGCCCATGGCGCTCGGTCAGAGCCCATGGCGCTCAGCCTCATTGACCTCACTTTCCCCGCAGATCGCTTGAGAAACCAAAAAGCAGATCTGGTTCCAACCCTGTATCCTCTCATCCTATGGCAATTTCAGAGTCTTTCGACCACAAGTACTGCAAGCACTGCAATGAGCTCCTTCCGGGGCCCCTCCCACACTGCCCACACTGCCCTGGCCCCGAATCATTTGGCCGTGCCACTGCAAGCGCTCGGCGATGGAGACCAAGACCTAGACGACGCGACGGCGGATCCGAGACGAAGAAGCCCGAGTGCCACAACTGGACCATCAACGAGGACCCCAGCAGGTTGGCCTCTCAAGTAGCTTGGCCTCGGGACCTCGGCCTCTCAAGTTCTCACCTTACCCACCTGAGAATCTCTGTGAGACACCGCGAGACCTTCGCAACCAGTTTGATCAATAGTGCGACAAGTCTGGTCAAGTGCAACGAGTCTGGTCAAGTGCGACGAGTCTGGTCATGATCGGAGAAAACGTTCCGGTTCTGACCAACAGCCATCTCTGCCCCCAGGGCACCCGGCACAAAGACCCCAACCAATGTCGTCCGTGACCACCCGGTGGTTGGGGTGTGGCATCACGCCCTGCATGGTACGCAGCACGGGAGTCCTGGCGGGAGCGGCGATCCGAGGAGAAATCCCCCTTGGGTTGGAGAAAAGCATCTTGGGTGGGAGGAGTACCTAAGGATGCAAGCATCCAATTCTTGTTTCCAATCCACTTCTCTGTGTGCCTGGCGCACGCCCTCTGGAGTGTTCACTCGAGTTTTCTCACTCACGCATATGTTGGAGTTCGCGGGCTCGCCACCACACCACTCCATGCGCCAGCACACCCCCCATGCAAAGAACCACTGGTGGCCGTGCCTGGCCATGGAGTAGGCCTTGTTGGTGCCCACCATTTTCGCCATGGTGGACCTGGGTGACACACTGAGCAGGAACCACAGGCAGCTCCTATGCTGAGCTGATCCAAGTGGCTAGGGTTAGCACACTGGTATCTCGTCTCTGAAATCCATCAGTGGATCCATGCGACAAACACAAGTTTAAAGCTACCAAGTCTACATATATGCATGTGATAGAAATCCCTAGAAATCTATATCCCAGTAGATCTCATCTTCTCCATCTGCTCCCAAGTCTACCAGCTACCTCGCCTTTGACCACAAGCACCGAAAAGGAGAAGAACAAATAAACACCGCACGACAGACGACCATCGCCCTGCCCCGCGCGAGCAACTCGCAAGCGAGCGGCTGGTCGGCGATTTGATCGCCATATTGCTCGAGGAGCCGTGTGGCCAAGGGGATGACATGGTGACCTCGAACGGTCGGTGCGAAGGGGAAAGCGAAGTGCTGAAGGGATTGAGAGTTCGATGGAAGGCCTTCTAGGCGGAAGGCAGAAGGCCCAGAAGAGAAGGACATGGGATGGCCAGAAACCGGAAAGAAGGACGCTCTTTCAGTTTTTGTTGAGCCTTTATTTGGTTTCTGTCTGTGGAGTCATGTTGTGACTTTTCCTGGTTGCGTGATGTTGGGTGAATTACTGAAAATAACATATACCGGAATCTCTTGGGTGCTGTTTTGGAAAATCTTGGGCATTGGGATCCTGCTGGTTGGAGAACCAAGGAACAGAAAAACTGCTGGGTTGAACACCCTTTGTTCCGTCTTCATTAAATCCAAGGCCAGCCAACCTTGTCCGGAAGATGAGATGGGACGTCTTCAACATCTCCAATGGGGTGGAAATCACGGGCGCCGGGTGGTCTAAACGGTTTGGTCATGTCTTGCTAGCTGGTCGTTTTCTGCCAGGATCTGGACTAGTGAAAAAGGATGAAAAAGGAGAAGCAACACCAGTTGCTGCCCGCAACACAAACTGCTGGTTCCTGCACACACATATACACTTCGACAATTTGTATTCAGTTAGCTCAATTTCTCCGATGGGAA